CACGAAGCCAATGACGTTCTTCTAGACTTGGAGTGACGTGTTCTGATTTCGGGGTGAGTGAAACAAGTCGGGTTGTATTTTTCTGAATGGACTGTAGTCTGTTGAGAAGGGACCGCCTCCGTGGTCTAATGGTAGAGCGTCCGCCCGGAGAGCGGAAGGTTCGATCCCCAGCCGCGTCATACCAAAAGACGTTAAAAGATGGTACTTGTTGTTACCCTGTCTGGCGCTCGGCATTAAGGGGCTAAAACCAGGACTGGTCGGCTCGGAGTCAGTATACTGTGTCTGAGTGGGGTATTCGTGTTAAACTGCGGCATGGTATCTAAGTGTGCTAGCACTATAAATCGGCACCAGTCCGGACTAGTACAAGCAGCCACACACACACACACACATACACGTGCATGCGCGTCGCTATAAAAGTGCAATAATCTTGGACGCGACCTTAAACCCCATTTCACCACCTCACCTTTTAGGAGAAGTGACAGATTCATGACAGCTGACTGGCCTGTCTGTGTAGGTTGAGGTCAGAATATATGATGACACCATCATCCTATTCACTGGAGGAAAAATTGGAACTGATATTTCCCCAGTACTGATTGTATCAAGTTCACACTCGTTTCGTCTTTTAACAGCACCGGTTAGAACTGACTCCGTCTTCTCGTCAAGCCTTATCTTGTTGTGAGACAATGCCAATGTCTCGACACCATCAGATGTTTGTGTTACTCATTCAATATCTGTAGAAGGATCAGGCTTGAAGAACTTGAGGAACTGGGTGTCTTCAGAATATGAATGACGCCAAAGACTGTGTCTGGCTGATATCACCAAGGGGTATTGCATAGGGAGTAAAGAGGATCTGAGCCAGAATTGATCCTTGTGGGACTCCACAATCAAGGAGAAGCGGAGCGGATGTAATTCCATTTACTCCAGTCTTTGTGTCCGGTCTGTCTGATAGGACTTCACCCAATTCAGAGCAGATCCCAAGAGGCCTACTTCAGATATTGAACGTGTGGTAAACTTCTCAGGGGGCGGTCGGGTAGCCTAGTGGTTAAAGCGTTCGCTCGTCACGCCGAAGACCCGGGTTCGATTCCCGACATGGGTACAATGTGTGAAGCCCATTTCTGGTGTCCCCCGCCGTGATATTGCTGGAATATTGCTAAAAGCGGCGTAAAACCATACTCAGTCACTCACTCTCATGGTTAGCTGTGTCAAAGGCTGCGCCGAGACCAAGAAGCACCAACAGAGTAACCACAATCAACACAACGATGTAGACCATTAACTACTGAGCAGGGCGGTATCTGCGCCATGTAGGCAGAGTGCAGAGGCGCGTGAAGATTGTATTTTTCTAGATGTTGTGAGAGACGGTGAAAAACAGCCTTTTTCTACAAGCTTGGATATGTATGGCAGATTTGTTAATGGTCTGAAGTTCTTCAGGTTTTCTTAGTCAAGTCCTTTCGTTTAAGTAGTGGTTTCACAACGACAGTCCTTAGGGTCCTTGGCATGTTACCAAATATAATGGACACACTGACCATTGGTTGCAAGATATCTATATTCTAAAAGACAAGTTTTGTCGAGATTGGGTCAAGAGCCCTGAATGTCTGTTTGGCTTTAAACTTCTGCGTCATCCATCTGAGCCTGTATCTGCTGTATGGTTGTCGTGAAATGATCTGAGAGTGATTCAGCAATGGCGAGGTTCATTCCAGTAGACAGGAGGGATGCGTCACTTGTCTTTCCCATTAGTGAGAAGAAGAGTTTCTAGAGCTTTACGTTGCGTCATGTTTCTCTCTATCTTGGTGTTGAGATAGTTCCTCTTGCGTTGTATATGGCAAACGTCGCGTCATTCCTGGCAGAAACCTACAGTTGACGATGAATCGCCCAGTGTCCTTCTCCATAGTCTGTCAGCACGCCTCCTCTGGCACTGAGCAGATGCTATGTCTGGAGTTATCTCCCAGGATGTATCGGTTCTGTGTGGAATCTTCTTGACACTCTCGGGAGTTTGCTTATCAGGGAGTCATCTTGGATTTGGTTGGTTGGTTTGTTGGGATCGATGACATGCATCAACCAAGACAGCGAGCCTGACCACCCGATCCCGTTAGTCGCCTCTTACGACAAGCATAGTCGCCTTTTACAGCAAGCATGGGTTGGTGAAGACCTATTCTACCCCGGATCTTCACGGGTCGAGTCATCTAAGAACATTCTACAATTATGTCAGATGATTGCAATCTGACGGGGGTAGATTAACAGATTCCACCAAGTCCTGTCTAAATACATGTTTGTCCGTGTCTCTGATATACCCGTGCAGCTTAGAGACCGTACCAGGTCAAGAGGTCGTTTTCACCAAGAAACTGGAATGGTCAGACAGCTTGAAATCCTTGAAACTGTGCTCTTCACAGAGCAGTCTGTTTTAGGGTCAGGACCCAGGCAAGAACAGGACCTATGGTGGATTCCAACACAAATTGACTACAGCCATAAACATCAAGAAGCTTCTCTTCTGGGCATTAAGGGGCTAAAACAAGGACTGGTCGGCTCGGAGTCAGTTTTCTGTGTCTGAGTGGGACATTCATGTTAAACTGCGGCATGGTATCTGTGGGATAGCACTCCGGACTAGTACAAGCACACGCACACACACACACACACACATACACACGCACGCACGCACGCACGCATGCACGTCGCTATATAAGTGCAATAAGCTTGGTCGCGACGTTAAACCCAAATCCACCTCACCTACAGATGAATGGAAGTCCCCAGCGGCCTGACTGACGTGCACGTTGTCTAAAGCTGTAGCCTGGATCCAAAGAAGATATTGTTTGCTCATCGCCAGAGGTGGCACGGGTGGCCCAGTCGTCTAAGGTGCCGGAATCGCTGTGCAGAGTTGCGCCCCTTGGGCACGCCAGAAACCTATGATTGTGGGTTCGAATCCCGGTTCGCCCGGATTATGTTTCTAGGTTTGTCAGCACCATACCCGTGCTCATGGGTTTCACCGATGGTGAATGTCTGAGACCTGCATCACTTCGGGCTTTCCTCCCACAGTAAGCTGACACGCCGTGATATAACTGGAATACTGTTATAAGCGGCGTTAAACCCAACTCACTCACTCATCTCCTGAGTCATGAAGCCAGGTTTCTGATAAAACCAGACATCAGTTTATTGATCAGCTGTTAAATCTGCAATTTAATCAGCCTTGTTACGTTGAGCGTTCAACAAACAAACATTAAAAAAAGGTGCACAGTGCTTTGGGTTGTGACCAATGATTAACTTGACTTTCCTCAGTGTTCTCCCACCATCGCGATATGGCCAGCGTTAGAATTGTTTAGTCCACTAGTCAAATTTCTACTAGTCCTTATGATACCTTAACTATTCGGGAGTTTGGCCAATTTCTGAGGCCGATGGCTGAAATAATGCCGGTGCAACAATAAATTATAACTCACTCCTCCCGCGATGCCTCTTCTGGTTGGATCGCCCGGCTTGTGGCCCGCTTGCATTCGGAGTCCAATCAGACAGGGTGTCATGGAGTAAGCTTTCAGAGAAACACTCGGTTGAATGGGATAAATCAAGCAGCTGTTGCCTTGGATATGTTGCCCTCTGTTCGCGCTCCATACCGCACTTGGATCAATCAGCATGGGACAATAGAGACTCACTTCTGGCTTGGGTGTTAGTGTTGGCCCACGTGTAGACTGTAGGGAAATATAGTCGTCAACATCAACGACATCAAAATGTGTTAAAAAAAACAAATATTCTTATTCAAACATTATAGCAACCTTTCCAGCAACTTATGACGTGAATCGAATAGCATTACTAGTGAAGCAGAAGGAAAGTTTGAGAGAGCTGTGAAGTGTACCCCGTATCTGGAACGAATTTTTTTCTTCTCCTTGTTTTAAATAAGAATTTTATCGTCAATATGGGCGAATGACACTGAATATTATATAATTAGAGATCATTCCACTCTTTTCACCCCTTGCATATGAGATGGCGGGTCGTTGCTCATGCCGTCAGTCATTAGTTTGCCCGGCCCATTACTTACAGACCGACCCGTGAAGATTCCGGGGTAGAATAGGTCTTCAGCAACCCATGCTTGCCGTAAAAGGTGACTATGCTTGTCGTAAGAGGCGACTAACGGGATCGGGTGGTCAGGCTCGCTGACTTGGTTGATGCATGTCATCGATCCCAATTGCGTGGATCGATGCTCATGATATTAACCACTGGTTTGTCTGGTCCAGACTCGATTATTTACAGACCGCCGTCATATAGCTGGAATATTGCTGAGAGTGGCGTAAAACAACATTCACACACTCACTCTTTGAGCACTTGAAATATCGGACAGGTATTCAACATTAGCGTACGCAATTATTTAAATAACACTTATAGCCGATCGGTAGTGAGTTTTGTTTATTAGATGGCCTTATTATAAGTTCATTACGTCATATTTTAAGCAAGAACGCAGAGGACCCCATTGTTTACCACAAGCATTGTTTTTGCTGCCTGGAGGACAGAAATAAATCTGTTGCACTCATTTCACAGCAACAACGAAGATATTTTTTTTCCATCTGTCAGATTCTTCTTGTGAAGACCCAGGGATATTTACATTTGTGTGCTGCTGACGTTTTACTTTTATCGCAGTGGCTAAAGTGTTACACAGATTGCACTTTTCACAAAGAATTTCCGCATTTATTTACTTTCTAACAACCTTGGCACGTGATAACCTGTCTGAAATCGATCTCTGGCTCAATGCCAGCCGGACTGGGTCTAGTCTACGTAAACCGGTCGCATGCGTCGCAATTCCATAGAAATGAGTCTAAAATTATTTTACCCCATTCCCACATGACCCGTAGCCATGTGCTTGGTGAATCTTCGCTATTTTATTTCATAGGGTTTCTTATCATAAGGATTCGCTTGTTAAACAAATTCGTTTTAGTAAGAATATGTCATAGATATTACAAATTACGCTGTAGATGGTATCAGTTTGGAACTTGCTCGCACTATGTTCCTCAAAACTGGGGTAAAGAGATCAGCGAATCCAACCACGTGAAGTTGTCTGTCTTTATGCTGGTTGTTGCTGTTGAAGGATGCCTACCGCCTCTACGGATTCCGAGAAGAAGGGCCCTGTTGAGGCCCAAACTCCCATAAAACAAGCTATCGCGATTGTGGAGCGTAAGGTCCGCAATCTAGAAAAGCGGAAGGTGAGACAGTTAGTTCTGAATTTGTAATATCGAGTTGGAAATGTTGCACTTGTCAAAGACGGAAGCGTCATTTTTCGAGTTGGATTGAGAACTTTTCTTGGGTTTCACATAGCTTTGCGATGTAATTACAATCATTGAAGTTGTTGAATTGTGTAGATTCTTTTGAAACAACATGCTCATGAAGCTCGTAACATGTCAGGAGTGAATATGAAGTGTACAGAAGAGTTTGTACAAATCTTCATGGCCCACAAACAAACCAAGATGGCGGAAATATTCCACAACCGGAATCAAACGACACAGTGTTATTCGCAAACAGCAAGTACTGTCAGGTTGGGTCAATTGCAGATTTATCTTTTTCAGATGTACAGTATCAACAGTGTATTTGAATAATATAAGAATTAAAAGTGATGAAGGAGATCGGTCAAAAATCATATGATTGTATCTTGGTTACAAGTCTGTACTCAAAAATAACTATGATTCACTAGAGTTTGGAGCATGCTCACACAGACTGTCGCAGTGAAGCTTTTTATGTTGATTGCTTTGTCAGCAGACTTGGAAAAGGGTTTAGTACTTAATGAGGCAAGACTACAGTTTATTTGGTACAACTTATAGTGTTGATAGACTCTGGCTGCAGTTGTTGCGTCACTGATCTCATTGCATTTTTTATCCTTATGGTTAGGGAGGGCAGGTTATCCCAATCACTCCTTAGACCTTGTATTGCCTTTCCAATCAAGCACCCTGATCTTACGGTTTAGGTGCCCATTTATGATCCAATATTCACAAATCTGAGTGTTAGCATGGTTAGTTTTGAGTTGTGGTATGGTTTAGCAATGAAACGTCTTTTATAATCAGAATGTTTTGGAAGAAAATATAAACCAAATGATTTTGTATGCTACATTGTATACTGCAGTAGTGTAAAGAAACGTGGCATAATGAATGTGTTTCCTATAACTGGGTTAAGTGTTCGCTAATTAGCATGCACAGTATTGATATACAGCAATATTCTTTTCAATATTTTTTCTGTTCCGGTATTTTGAGTAAAATATATATATCAAGTTTCGTTATCATTTGTATCGTTTGACTTAAAATCTACAAAGAAATTCATTCTCTAATGTTTCCCTCTGAAACTGATCAACAAAACATTGGAAACCCAGAAGCGATTTTTCATTCACATTGTTATCTCCCCTGTATCCATGACAAAATGGCGGTGACTGAACATGCTGTTTGTTGTTTAACGCCATACTCGGCAATATTACAGGGGTCTGTAAATGGAGTCTTGACCAGACAATCCAGTAATCAATATCGTGAGCATCGATCCACGCAATTGGGAAACTGACATACATCAACCAAGTCAGCGAGTCTGACCACGCCATCCCGTTAGTCATCTCTTACGACAAGCATGGGTTTTCTGAAACTTATTCTAACCCGGATCCTCATGGGTCTTGACCATGCTGAATAATATTTGATTTAGTGTGTAGAAAATAGAATCTGCATGTTCAATCATTTTCAAAAACTTTAGCTGCCGATATATCAGATACCTGGATCATAATATATTGCAGTACGGAGTTTTGGGCCAATACACAGACCCACTAAGTACAGTAACTCATTAGCCTAACTTAGCTTCAAACTGGCAGGCGAGTTCGATCCTCCACACAGTGCTAATTGACGTCCAAAAAAGTGTGACTGATAAGTGCAGTACTCCCATAATTAAAGGTAGATAACCACAAGTAGAGACTGAAGTAGGACAACTGATGCTGTCATACTGCGTCTGTGAACGTACCGTAGCAGCTGAGGTATCAATCTCTGTGCTGCTCCTTAAAAAGATTTTGATATTGACTTGTCGCAACACAGCTTTGAGCTGTTCCATAGTGTTCCTAATATCTGCATCACACTTTATATCTTCAGCAAAGTGCATGTGACATGACAAATGCTCCATGAATTACTTCCCAAGACACTTGCCTTCAAATCGAATACTTATATTTGAGATCGTCCATCGATCTATTTACTTATCATGTTTGAAACCAGGCTGTTTGGCGATTCCAACTCGATGAGTACAGTCAGTCAAGCACCGTTGTCAAACTTTGTGGTGAACCCATGGTAGTCTTGACGTGAAAGCTTGTTCCATAAGTATTCATAATTTTCAGTTGTCAAACCTTGGATAACTCAAAGTATGCACTGAAGTCCCTTCAACTTTGACACAACAATGTTTGACTGTACATAGAAAGATGCTCGATCTAAAATTTGTACATATTTGAAGGCAAGTGTTTCAGGAAGTGATCCGTTGCAGTTTTCGTGGAATTTTTATTCATGTACATTATGGCTGGTATGTTTCGAATCGAAATCTATTAGGAAAACATGTAGGGACAGTCCATAGCTCTGTGTAGTGGTTGGATCATGTGGATGTTTAACGCTGCACTCGGCAATATTCCAGCTATATGACGGCGGCCTGTAAATAATCGAGCCTGGACCAGACAATCCAGTGAATATCAAATTGTTCATAGGGAGCCGTACAGAAATATGGTTACTGCAGCTTGTGTGATAGTTACAACAAGGGTTATGTGTTGACAGTCATATGAATAATGCAACTCAGCCTGTGTTGTACAGGTCTAGACATTTATGCCACATTTGTTGGACACCTGTTGTTTACTTATGTACTTGACTTACCTATGTTTTTTATGCATACCATATTTGACGTAATAAGCCCCCAGGGTGCTCTCAAAATTAGAAATAGGGAGCTCTTATTAGAATATAATTTTGTTGAAAGATCGTAAATTTTGTGGTTTATGCTGATAGCCTGAAATGATACAAAAGAAAAGTCTGTGCGTATTATACACGACAGATATATTTTTCCAGAATTTAATTGACTGTAATTAAGGGTGCATATAACACATGATTGCGTATTATACACTAATAAATAAGTCTTGTGTACATTGATCAATCGGAAGGGTGCTAATTGGTATTGTTCACTAGTCAATATATTAGAAAATATCGCCGTGGGCGCTTATTACCATGGGGCGCTTATTACGTCGAATACGGTATACTAAATTGATGATATACTTTAAGGGATGTTATATGCCTACTTTTAGGGTATTTATCAGCATGATCAGTCATATATGATATTTACCTCTACCATGTGTTGGAACGAGTTCACAGAACTGTCACTGCATGTTGTGATTGAGTATGTGCATGAGGAATAAAATGTACCTGGGATTCTAAACCAAGTTTGTTTAACGCTGCACCCAGCTATATGACGCCACAGTTTGTAAATAATCACGTCTGGACCAGACAATCCTTTGATTGACATGCATTAACCAAGTCAGCAAGCGTACGGTTACCGTTAGTCTCCTCTTACGACAAGCATAGTCGTCTTTTACAGCAAGCATGTTTTGCTGAAGATCTATTTCACCCCAGATCTTCCCCGGTCCTGAGCAGGTCTAGATATATTAGTACTTAACATGACTCGTGGTTTAAAAATAAGTGTGACATGTATAGGCAAAATGAAAAAATGTTTTGGGTTGTGATGACATGTTTTATAGTTTATGAGGTATCAACATAGCCAATAAAAATTCCTACAATTAGTGCAGCACATGTGTTTTAAAAGTCCCCCTATAATTTTGTCTTCTAACATGCCTGAAGCACTGACTTCATATTTTGCTGTCTGTCCATTAAAAATATCTTTGGATGATGAAAAGATTATGTTTGAAACTCTATTTACTTTGTTCCAACTTTATTTGTGCAAATGAGCATTTAAGGTATCAGACAGACTTTTGAATAAATGACTTAAATCAAACTAGTCTTTCTAAGTAAGAACAGAATGTTCAGTTAATCATGTTAAAATTATCTTGCTTTGGTTAAAATATATGTAACATTGACACACATGTTTATGCAGCATTAGAAATTGGCACTAGTCCTGTACTCCTTGCCAAACTGCCCAATAGTAAAGGTATCATAAGGACAAGTAGAAATTGGCCCTTTTTATGGGTTTTGCCATATGTTATCATTATAAGGACTAGTGGACTAAATATGTTAGTTTCTAACAGTGCTTTATGGTGTCATTTGATCATCAGCATATTTTATGCGCATACCTACCTTGACAGGAATACTGAGTGGTTCACTGGAGTGGTCGTGTTATTCAGGAATAGATGCATCGTGCATAACCTGTATAGGATAAAATAAGTGATTGTATTTGAGTGGGCATATTTTTGCTTAGAAATGCATATTTGGATGAATTGACTCCTCAGTGTATCTGATTGATCTAGGGTACTTTAGTAATACGTCAACGGTATCCCCTTTGTGGTGAGAGACGATTGGGTGCAGGGTGTTACCTCCACCCACAAAACTAGGGGTAACAGGAAACGGGGCGGTACGGTAGCCTAGTGGTTAAGGCGTTCGCTCACCATGCTGAATGAAGATCCAGGGTTGATTCCCGACATGGGTACAATGTGTGAAACCCATTTCTGGTCTCCTTGCCATGATAGTGCTGGAATATTGCCAAAAGCGGCGTAAAAGCATACTCTCACCTAACAGGTAACCTGTAACATAACTAAATCGTATTGTGTTCAGTACTGTAAGATTTGATAATTTTTTAATTACCGTGATTTCAGGACCTTTACGTTTTTTTTAAAGAATTGGTTACAATAAATTATTTTTGTGCCTCCCTCGGGACGCAAAATTGGCTTTTTGCATTTGTTCTATACAGTTTTGTGTCAGTGGGTGGTTAACCTTATAGCGTTTGCTTGTCACAGCGAAGACCGGAGTTGATTCTCCACCTGGGTACAATGTGTAAGCTTATTTCTCGTGTTCCCCACCGTCATATTGCTGGAAAATTGCTAAACATGGTGTAAAAGCAAGGGTTTTTACATAGATTTCATGGACAACATAGGGCAATTTGAGTGATATGCGACCTCGTTTCATAAGCTACTGCAAATAGACATGACCACTGGGGGTCCAATGTACTCCCAGGTAACAGAGGGACGTAGTGTGTCCAGATTCGTTAAATGTTGACAGGCTGATCATTGCTGATAAGATATTGCTGGAATATTGCTGATTAATCACTTTGTTAGTTGCCATGCAACCTTGATCAGTGCTCACACCTTCAACCCTAGTTTGTCTGATCCAATGTCTCCGAGCTGATGTTAGGGGGCACAGCTGGCCCAGTTGTCTAAGGCAACGTGATTCGTTGTGCAGAGTTGCGTCCCTTGGACACACCAGAAACCTATGAATGTGGGTTCAAATCCCGTTTCGCCCCGATTATGTTTCTAGGTTTGTCAGCACCATACCCGTGCTCGTGGGTTTCACCGAAGTGGTAAACATCTTAGACCTGCATCACTTCGGGCTTTCCTCCCACCTTAAGCTGACACATCGTGATATAACTGGAATACTGTTAAAAGTGGCGTTAAACCCAACTCACTCACTCACTCACTGTTATACACGTGGTGACTACAGTGTTAAGACAAAGTTCACCACTCTAGAATGGATTGCTCCTGTTGGAATCAATGAGGGACTGGTCTGTTTGTTAACTCGGCTAAATGCTGTGTTTTTGTTGCAGACTAAGCTTGATAACATCAAGCAGAAAGCGGCCTCGGGGGGTAAGCTGGAGTTAGACCAGAAGGTAAGTACTGAGGGTGGGGGTACGATTCTCTTAAAAAGTTCCAGATAAACTATCAATGATTTTTAAAACACAAAATAAATCAATGAATTTTGAGTTGCTTGTGAACAAATATGCATGTTTATCCGATGCATAAATCATTTGTCGGGAGAGTGGAAGATCGTTGGTTCGGTGCCCTGACTGTCATACCAAAACACATTAAAATATGGTACTTGCCCTGAAGTCCGACTCTCAGCAGTAAGGGGCTAAAACAAGGACTGGCCGGCTTGGAGTCAGTATTCTGTGTGTGAGTGGAGTATTCATGTTAAACTGCAGCATGGTATCTCAGTGGGCTAGCACTATTAAGTCGGCATTAGTCCAAACACATTGCAATGTACATGGTAAATGCATGTAAATGCAATAATCTTGAATGTGACATTAACCCTATTTCACCTGTTGTGTTGGTAATCAATAATGGAACCTGACAATTTTCACTTTATCAATTACAAATGATTTTGCCTGATCCGACTTTTAAAAAGAAATGTAGCTTATAAAAACTTACAATGTCAAGACATCCATACAGGGACCCGTTTTGGACCAGGTTTTTTATATTTGTGAAGTTGCTAGATTTTGGGAGAAAACAACTTATGTTTTTTTTTAATGTTATTTGAATTTTTTTTGTTGACAATTCTCGGTTGATTTATCATGATCATTGACAATGTGATGATTTTGATAATTTATTAAATGAAAGAAATTATGAAGTCATGATGATGTGGTCAAGCCGTTTTTAATATTCTTAATCTGTTTCTCTCACAGAATGCAATCGAACATTACGAAGAGGTTATCCAAACACTGGAGTATTCAAGGGAGCTGCAGAAACAGTTTGCGGCCATCAGCAACGAGGTAGGGTCATCATGACATGCCATCTATGGTGCAGCAACGAGGTAGGGCCATCATGACATGCCATCTGTGGTGATCTACCCAGCCATGGGGTCCATGGAACCTTTAATTGTAGGGCCCCCCAAAATATAAAATGGGAGTCTGAAGCTTCAACCTTACTCTATGTAAGATTCCACATGCTTGGGTCATTAGTAACATGGTTAAAAATAGATGTGGAATACCCCACCTACAATGAATCGATGTATTGTATTTTGTAAATGATTATGTTCACAAAAAAATATTAAGTGGAACAAAATTATGAAACAGCAGCATTTAATCCTAAATGGGAATACACATTTTCTGCACCCTAGTAGATGCACTCCGTTTTGGCATCCATTTTCAAATTTTGTGCTTATTGGATCCAGGATTAGTTGTCTGGCAATCCCTACATCTGTCCAGTGTAGGATGCAGGAACCCCATGGGGGATTTGGGTTAGAATTGGTCCCAAGCAACCTTTTGTGTCAACTATCTTAATTTGTATGTTTGTAGTGCAAATGCAATGAAATTGACTGCTTATCAATATTGAGATGTTCTTTTTGTAGGCTGGGAAGTTGATGAAGAAGCAGGCGCGGAGAGAGAAGTTAGATCGCCAGCTACACGAGATCAAACGAATCCAGGAGCTGCTCCAAGTCCAGAATCTGCTGGACAGTCTTGGCTCCCAGAACGTGCGCTCGGACTTCCAGACGGGCAAACACGGAGCAGTGGTAGGTACACCCTCGTCATTCAAGGGTTGGAAGGAGGTTAAAAATAGAACTCTAATTGAAATATACGTCGGTATTGTTTATGACAAGAATATTTGCATTTTAGGTTCTCAAGTTATCAACAAGAAAGTTATATTTTTATGATCATGTGAAATCATCTGTTTCAATCTGAGGTGGTTATTGTGATTTGATACTTCTGATTGACCAATCAGAATAGAGTAATTTCCAGATTCATGATAGAATACAGGGATTAATCTAGACCTGCTCAGAGGCTGATATTCAGCCCCAAGTCTGCAGATATAACATTAAAAGTCCCAATTTGAATTAAAAAAATCAAATTTTTAAAAATTATTAACATTGAAAAATCAAATTTTTAAAAATATCAAGGGCACCAAGTTTGGTATCCTTGTTTAGTTTGTGGCCTAAGTATAAATTGGTGTGACTGTTGTGCAGGTTCTAACAGAGGAGAACTTGAACCAGTTGGATGAGTTGTATCAGCTGATCAGCCCCACGCGGGAGGGGGAGGACTACCACAAGAAGCTGAACGCTGCCGCCGAGCACATCGTGTCCCTCCTAGAGAGCAAACAGAAGGAAGTCATCGGGACAACGTACAAGGATCTGAAAGAACTCATCGACCTTATCAGCGGCTGTGGTTACTTTGAAGCAGTTCAGAAGTTGGAGAATGAGGGTATGCATTACCAGACAGATATAACTCGATTGCATAGTCAAGGAATTCATACAATATCCGGCACAATCTGCAAAGATTATAAACTTAACCACCGATGTTTCACCAACACAGGTATTTTATTGGCCATGAGGAGTCATACTTCCCCCATTAAAATAAATGATAGAAAAAAATCAAATGATAATCTAAGTCACCTATGAGATTTTTTTATGGTCCTATTATGACAAGATTATTGTCCAGTCACTGTTTAATGTCAAAATATTCCGCACCCGTGAAGACCCGGGGTAGAATATGTCTTCAGCAACCCGTGCTTGCCATAAAATGCAACTATGGTAAGAGGCAACTGATGGGATCAGGTTGTCAGGCTCGTAGACTTGGTTGATGCATGCATGTATCCCAATTGCGTGGATCGATGCTCATGATGTCAATCACTGGATTGTCTGGTCCAGATTCGATTATTTACAGACCCCTCGTATAGCTGGAATATTGCTGAGTGCGGCGTTAAACAAGATATTCTGACATAAGATATGTTTGAAAATTTTTTTGTTTAGATGAGCAGCTGGATTTTGGATGGTATGGTATGATCCCCACATGGGTACAATATGTGAACCCCATTCGGGTGTCCCACACCGTGATATTGCTGGAATGTTGCTAAAAGCAGCGTAAAACCACACTTGCTCACTCACCCTATCAGTCTTTCACTCACTCACTCAATGCATGCCTCTGTTTCAGAGAGTGCTGCCAACACTGCCGCAGTAGCTGAGGTTGACGAAGCTGTTGACGAGGAGGATGACGGAGGCGAGGACGTGGAGTCGAGTGAGGACGGTAAAACCGAGTCTCAGCCAGACGAACCAGCCCTGGATCTGCCAGTTAGCCAGCCCCCCCAAGAGGTCCTGACTCAGGCTGCACCCCCACAGCTCAACAACATGGCCCACCAGGGGGGACAAGCTGCGTACTATGCTAATGAGGCATTTCCGCAACCCAACCAAAGACCCATTGATGAGATCGTATCCTCAGTGCAGGGCAGTTTCAACTTTCTTCAGGAGTCAACCATTGATGTGGATTGTAAGTTTGCAGTTCCCAGAAGGGGAGAGAAATAATTCTTGAAGACATGAAACCTTTACTGATGACTTGAAACATTTCAGAATTTGCAATCCATAAAAGTCTTAAAGTTTGCGTTTTTTTATGTCCGTCAAGGACTGAATCAAATTTTCTTTTTTTTTCATGGAACTGTCTGCAGGATTTTATGAATTGGATCAAAGAAATTGGAAGTAATCTAATTGAAATTTAATTATTGCCATGCATGTAGGGTATAAGTGATAGCATGTAGTTCTGTGTCCGGCGCACAGGTCACAAATCGGACAAGTTAGGTATTGGAGAGTAGGTGGATGGGTGGTGTTGTGGAGGGTAGGTGGATGGGTGGTGCTGTGGAGAGTAGGTGGATGGGTGGTGTTGTGGAGAGTAGGTGGATGGGTGTTGTGGAGAGTAGGTGGATGGGTGGTGTTGTGGAGAGTAGGTGGATGGGTGGTGATGTGGAGAGTAGGTGGATGGGTGGTGTTGTGGAGAGTAGGTGGATGGGTGTTGTGGAGAGTAGGTGGATGGGTGGTGTTGTGTAGAGTAGGTGGATGGGTGGTGTTGTGGAAAGTAGGTGGATGGGTGGTGTTGTGGAGAGTAGGTGGATGGGTGGTGATGTGGAGAGTAGGTGGATGGGTGGTGTTGTGGAGAGTAGGTGGATGGGTGTTGTGGAGAGTAGGTGGATGGGTGGTGTTGTGTAGAGTAGGTGGATGGGTGGTGTTGTGGAAAGTAGGTGGATGGGTGGTGTTGTGGAGAGTAGGTGGATGGGTGGTGTTGTGGAGAGTAGGTGGATGGGTGGTGTTGTGGAGAGTAGGTGGATGGGTGGTGCTGTGGAGAGTAGGTGGATGGGTGGTGTTGTGGAGGGTAGGTGGATGGGTGGTGTTGTGGAGGGTAGGTGGATGGGTGGTGTTGTGGAGAGTAGGTGGATGGATGGTGTTGTGGAGAGTAGGTGGATGGGTGGTGTTGTGGAGAGTAGGTGGATGGGTGTTGTGGAGAGTAGGTGGATGGGTGGTGTTGTGTAGAGTAGGTGGATGGGTGGTGTTGTGGAAAGTAGGTGGATGGGTGGTGTTGTGGAGAGTAGGTGGATGGGTGGTGTTGTGGAGAGTAGGTGGATGGGTGGTGTTGTGGAGAGTAGGTGGATGGGTGGTGCTGTGGAGAGTAGGTGGATGGGTGGTGTTGTGGAGGGTAGGTGGATGGGTGGTGTTGTGGAGGGTAGGTGGATGGGTGGTGTTGTGGAGAGTAGGTGGATGGATGGTGTTGTGGAGAGTAGGTGGATGGGTGGTGTTGTGGAGAGTAGGTGGATGGGTGGTGTTGTGGAGAGTAGGTGGATGGGTGTTGTGGAGAGTAGGTGGATGGGTGGTGTTGTGTAGAGTAGGTGGATGGGTGGTGTTGTGTAGAGTAGGTGGATGGGTGGTGTTGTGTAGAGTAGGTGGATGGCTGGTGTTGTGGAGAGTAGGTGGATGGGTGGTGTTGTGGAGAGTAGGTGGATGGCTGGTGTTGTGGAGAGTAGGTGGATGGCTGGTGTTGTGGAGAGTAGGTGGATGGCTGGTGTTGTGGAGAGTAGGTGGATGGCTGGTGTTGTGGAGAGTAGGTGGATGGCTGGTGATGTGGAGAGTAGGTGGATGGGTGGTGTTGTGGAGAGTAGGTGGATGGATGGTGTTGTGGATGGGTGGTGTTGTTGTGGAGAGTAGGTGGATGGGTGGTGTTGTGGAGAGTAGGTGGATGGGTGGTGTTGTGGAGGGTAGGTGGATGGGTGGTGTTGTGGAGAGAAGGTGGATGGGTGGTGTTGTGGAGAGAAGGTGAAAAGTTTTCCATAATAGACAAGCTAACACCTAAGTTTCTATGCCTTCGCTCCTGGCCCAAACTGGAACACAGGTTCATTGACGTGTCTCGTTAGACATGTGACTTTGTGTAAAATATGTCTCTGTTCCAGAATTGACCGCCTCCGTGGTCTTGTGGTAGAGCGTCCGCCCGGAGAGCGGAAGGTCCAGGGTTCGATCCCGGGCCGCGTCATACCAAAAGACGTTAAAAGATGGTACTTGTTGTTACCCTGTCTGGCGCTCGTTATTCAGGGGCTAAAACAAGGACTGGTCGGCTCGGAGTCAGTATACTGTGTCTGAGTGGGGTATTCATGTTAAACTGCGGCATGGTATCTCAGTGAGCTAGCACTATAAATCGGCATCAGTTCGGACTAGTACAAGCAGCCACACACACACATACACGTGCATGCACGTCGCTATATAAGTGCAATAATCTTGGACGCGACGTTAAACCCAATTTCACCTCACCTCACCTGTTCCAGAATTAAATTCGCGGAAAAAATAGTTCTTTGCGAAATCCTCTACTTGCCAGCTGGTGAGTTTTCCAGTGTGAGGGTCGTCTACAGGGTGGTGCTTTGTTTTGCAGCAGCTCCTCACATTGACCCTGCAGTTGTTGCAGCGCAGCCCATGCCCAGGTCATCAGCTCAACAGACGCCGGATACAACTCTCTCTGGTTTCGCAACCCAGGCGTATGACCAACAGAACAATCCAACACCAGCCCAGACAAGCCAACACACCAGCAACAACTTAGCAGAACAGCAGCAACAGCGATACCAGTCAGCAGAACAGACCACACTATCACAGCAAAACATGGACTATCCCTCCTCACAGCAATTTCGTCAAAACGCCTTATCACAAAATATCCAGACCGAGTCTATGTTTCCACCAGCTGCAGAAGATACGGCGCCGATTTCGCACGGGATGATGAACCAAACTGGATCGGACAATTCCATGGGGCAATACGATATCCCACCCTCCATACCACTCCCACAATCTCAGGTGAGCTGGAAGGCTGGCCTCCTAGGCCAAACACAGCACTTTGAGCATTTATTCTCTTTGTCCTTCTCCATGGGCAGAATAGGAACAGAAAGTTAGTCAACGAAAATTCTTAATACTACAATATGTAGATTGTTAAGTGGTAACATCTGTACCTTGTGAAAGAATCACTTCCATTTATGGACAAGGGGAGATAAGTAATGATTGTCCTTCACAAGTTATCTCCCCTATTTCCTTGGTATGCAGTCTGCATTATGTTGTGACAAGGTTATTTGATGCACATACATTTTAATACACATGGCAAACACAAGGAACCTGATGAACATATGAACACACTTAGTGCACAGATTCAGATGTAAAATAAACTGGGGTATTCAGATACTTATCCGAGTAGCATCAATCTGCCTGAAGACAAATGCTGCTACTTATGTTATCTAGCATGTCTAGTTCATGGTGAAGTGAAATTCAAAGTTTGAAGATGCTTAAAAAGTATTTTTGTTGGTACACTTAAATTCCAAAGGAACCCTGTGGGACACTTTTAAAAATAGATTTCTTGCCCTTAATATGAAGGTGTTGTATCCTTGGTATTCTGTGAAATATTTTATGTTGAAAGAAGAACCGCAGCTAACAATTTTCAATCGACTACGTTGGATGCATGTAGGAAGGGTCTTCTGAGTTGTTAGTGTGCGAGTCGGGGCATAAGGTCTGTAATTTGGAGAATCTTTAATTCACAGGATAACCAACAGCCCAACATTTCCAATCAACCGGAGAAAAAGTTTACAATGAACGCAGCAGCGCCGGTGTTCCAGTCCATGTACTCTCAGGCTGGCGTTCAGGAACAGATTGGTGATGGCCTCAACCATTCATCTCAGAACGCCGACTCCAATGGGGCTAACAATTTCCAGAGTAAGAGATGCTCAAAATTGCTTAATTTTTTTAGCAGTTGGAAAGTAGTTAAGCTATAGTCTGTGCTGTATTCTGCAGCCCCAAAATCTATACTGTTGTCAATTTTTTGTTGTCAATTTTGCAACCAAATTTTTATCATTCTGCACACAATTCTTCAAACGTTTAAGCTCAGAGTTCATGAATTTAATTGTTTTTCACCTTTTTAACCCTTTTTAACCGTTTTTTTTTGCTTATGTCATATGCTTGTCTTAAGAGGCGACTAACGGGATCGGGTGGTCAGGCTCGCTGACTTGGTTGATGCATGTCATCTCAATCCCAATTGCGCAGATCAATGCTCATGATATTAATCACTGGATTGTCTGGTCCAGACTCGATTATTTACAAGCTACATTACATTATAAGCTGGAATATTGCTGAGTGTGGCGTTAAACAACAAACCAACCAACTTATGTCAGGTATTTTTATTATTAACTTACCCATGGCTAGAATAGCTTATTGAAGTGAATCTGGAGATCACTAGTGTCAACATACAGACATGCAGTTTCTGTAAGCAATAATGCAAAAGTCGACAACTTCAAAATAAATATGTTTACACATATAAAACCAGCTTTCGATGCGCATGTTAACATTCTGCAGTGTACTTGATGAATTCTGCAGCAGATTAATGCTAAATTCTGCAGAAGTTCTGCACAAAATGTGGTTTTTCTGCAAGATAGGTAAATTTCTGCACAGAGTGGGCATTTCTGCAAAATATGTGGCACCAGGTGTTAAAGGTATATATGCACCTGGAAAAATGTTAGGAACCGTCCCTTCTGTATTTTCATCTATCCCAAACTTTCATGTGTCTTGGAAAAGATTTCGATATATATCTCATTTAGAGAAATGTTGGATGTGACCATCTGGTTGGAATTGGCCTTCAGCAACCCAGGCTTGTTGTAAGAGGTGACTAATGGAATCCAGTGGTCAGACTCGCTGACTTGGTTGATGCATGTCATCATATGCCAATTGTTGTAGATTGATGCTTATGTCAATCACTGAATTGTCTGGTCCAGACACTATAACAGACCGTTGCCATATAACCGGAATATTGCTGTGTGCGGTGTTAAACATGTTAAACAAAAAACGGTTATATTTAAGATACCACTGGTCAGGATCTGTGACACACTTAACCCTGTAGCGGACCAGATTAATACTTCCTACTTCATCTGTTTCAGATAACCGCTACCAGAACGACGGCTTCCAGCAGCGAGGGCCCCGGAGGGAAGGGAGTGGTTACCGCGGCCGTGGAGGCCGAGGTGGTAACACTGGCGGTAACAACAGCAATATGCAGAATGGCTTTAACAGGAATGCCGGTGGTGGCAACGTCAGTGGTGGACCTAACTCAGGTCGTGGTGGGAGAGGTGAGCTGTCATGTATTTTCCGTGTGTAATGAGGGACCATTTGTCATTGAATCCAAACAGGAGCAGTATGTAAATATGTCATGTAACCCAGTGAGGTAGAGGTAATCACGGCATGCAGGGAGAGAGATTGTTGCTATCCTATTTATGGCAATATTGTCATTGTCAAATTACAATTCGTGTTTCAAAGGGGATAATTCCACAGTTGGTCTCACTGTTTTGACAATGTTGGATAATTAATGCGAGAAAGTTTTCAGTTGTGCATCTGTAAATGGTTATATGTACATTTGTGTCACGTGTAAATCTTATATAGATACTCTTTATGATAGGATGGGTGGGGTCAGGTAGCCTAGTAGTAAAAGCGTTCACTAGCCACAACGATGACCCTGGTTTGAATCCCAACATGGGTACAATGAGTACAAAGCCCATTTCTGGTGTCCCCTGCAGTGATATTGCTGGAATATTGCAACAAGCGGCATAAAACCATACTCACTCACTTTATGATAGGGGATATGTTCCCCAAACTATGCAATATTGCTGATTTAGTTATAACCATCTGCATCTGTCATAACCATTTTGAAACACTTTGATGCAAAGGGAATGATTAATTTCTAAATGAAGAACTTCATGTATTTCAAGGTTGTATGGCCAATTTGGCTTGACATGGATTTCTATTAGCTCCATACAATTTCATGGAATAGATACAAGTCTTCCATTTGTGCAAAAAATTCTTGCAAGTATATACGTCTTTATCTGACAGGAGGCCAATACCAAGGTTACACTTCCCGCAATAACTACCAGTCTGACGGTTACCAAGGCTACAATAACAGTGGGGGTGGTTTCAACCAAGGCTACAAGCAGCGAGGCGGTGGCAGCGGTGGACAGATGCGGGGGTCAGGCGGCAGTGACCGTGGCGGCATGAGGAACAGCGGAGGTAGGGCAATTGTCTTGGTCACTACTGCACAGTGTGAGAGTCCTACGTATGACCATTCCTGCTAGGATTTCAGTGTAGGAGTGGTCCCCAGCAACCTGTGCTGGTCGTAAGAGGCGACATGATGGATCAGGTGGTCAGGCTCAGAGATAAATCTCATTAGCCGTGTGGCTAATATCAGTTATCAATGAACAATGTCAATGTTCGTAATTTAGTCGGTCCTCAGGACCCGTGAAGATCCGAGTTGGAATGGTCATGATGTCAATCACTAGATTGTCATGTCCTTACTGACTGCCTTTACAGACTGCCTTTACAGACTGCCTTTACAGACTGCCTTTACAGAATGCCATCATACATCATATAGCTGGAATATTGCTGAGTGCGGCATTAAATAAACTGGGTCCTCAGGTACACAAGGTTTGTGTGTCTTTGTACCTCCGCAGCATGGATCCTTGCAGTGTGATTATGTCATGTCTTAGTAATCGCTACTGCTAAGCAGACCCGTGAAGATTCCAGGTTAGAATAGGTCTTCAGCAACCCATGCTTGCCGTAAAAGGCGACTATGCTTGTCGTAAGAGGCCACTAACGGGATCGGGTGGTCAGGCTCGCTGACTTGGTTGATGCATGTCATCGATCCCAATTACGTGGATTGATGCTCATTATATTAATCACTGGATTGTCTGGTCCACACTTGATTATTTACAGACCGCCGTCATATTGCTGGGCGCGGCATTAAACAACAAACCAAACCAAACTGCTAAGCAAAGATCTGAGGACGTCCCATTACAGGTCATGTCAGAACGACCTCTGAAATAACCAACAAGCAGGCAACATTTAACTTGTCGAGCATTACGGCACTGGTTTCAAACTGGCAACTATGCTTTGAAAAATATTTGACAAGTTCTTGATTCAAAATTTGAAAACTGAACAAAAAGAAAATTCAGGAATGCTTTTGTTTAGCGGTAGCGAGAACTGAGATCTGAACTTTTGAGATTGGGATCCTTGTGCATATCAATCACTGGATTGTCTGGTCCATTATTTACAGCTGGAATATTGCTGAGTGCAGTGTTAATACTCAGTTTGAGAATTAATCGTGGCCATTTAGTATTTTTTTATGCAATCTTTCAGGATTGTTAAAGTCTTTGTTAATAAAACTTTTTTCACCGTAGGGATGCGTGGAGGAGGACCCTCGAGAAACAACGGCAACAACGCACCGAGAACCGCCAGTGCTCGTGGTAACGGCGTAGGACGGCCCAACTCTGGAGGACAGTTCCAGCAGTAACTAAGGAAACGAAACACAAAAACAGACCATCTTTGCCAGTGATTGATTGATACGTTCTGCAATGATTTGTGACTTTGACGGAAATTTCACTGGGCCTACAGCTTTTGTTGACGATAATGCTCAAACCGCTATTCCAGTGTCAAACTGTCGTTTCACCAGATGTCTGTAAAACGGTGATTCCAAGGGCATGGGGAGTGACCTACCCAACCCAAAGCTTATGGGCCAGTGTGATTTTTGCCAAACGAACCGCTTCATGTTGCCATGGCAACGGGCAGATGTAGACGAGGGAAGGCAAATTTCAACGGACAACAACAAATTCACAGCATTTTAACATCCAAACGTGGTATTATTTTTTTCCTCCTTTACTTTTTTTTTCAAAACTACACCCAGGTGTTTTGTAACAAGGGAGCTTGACGAATCATGCATGTTGCTGATTAACGAGATTCCCAGCTATCTCTGTACAGGAAGAACCCATTTTCTCATCACACCATCATTTTCTTTTATTTCATTGTAGTGCTGAACTGCACAGAGAAGGCTGGGACACCTCCTGGTTCCGATCAAGTATGCCCAATGTGGTCAAGCAAATATTTAAGTAAACCTTTACAAAAAAAAAAAAGCAAAAAAAAAAGCAAAACAAGACAAATAGCAGATCCTTGAGGGATCTATGACTAATGTCTACATGGTCATCCAACTTAAAATTCTATGCTAGAATGCATTTATTTGGTTGGTCAGCATTCAAATTTTGTTTGGGTCTTTGGATCAAGATCCCCTCATATTTTTTTCTAGCTTCTGCAATCAAATAAAAGTTTGTCTAAATCCAGTTTGTGTTGGTTGTGTTTGTGGTGAGGTGGTTAGTGTTGGCCTGGAGCGTGGAGGTCGTTGGCCTGGAGTGTGAAGGTCGTTGGCCTGGAGTGTGAAAGTCGTTGGCCTGGATTGTGAAGGTCGTTGGTTTGATCCTCTGGTGGCATCGTACCAAAATATATGTGACCTTGTCTGGCGCTTGGCATTAAGGGGCTAATGGAACGGTCTATGTAATGTCTGAGTGGGGTATCCATGTTAAAAATGAGGATATGGTGCAGTAATTTTCCTTACACAAAAATATACACACTACCCTCCTTGTAAAAGAAAAGTTAATTTCTCCTAATACAGACAAGCAGACATCCTTGAAACAGCTTAAAAATGTTAACAATAATAATGTCATTTAGAATAATCTTGTGTTAACTTCTTTTGAGTAGTATATATTAGAGTTTAGTCTAGCTTGGGATCTTGCAATACGATTTGGATCACAATACGAACTGACGAAACTACAGGTATCCCGATACACATCAAATAGCTCTTAAACCTTTCTTCATACATTTATTTATTATCTGGTAAACATCAATGAAAACCACGAAAAAAACCGTTTTCAATGATTAAATGTAACAGTTTTCAGCCACCATGTCCTCGTGTTCTGCCATTCTTACAGGTGGCGCTATGCTACTTCTGCCATTGCAGGAGGTTGGTTTGTTTGTTGTCTAACGCCGCACTCAGCAATATTCCAGCTACATGACGGCAGTCTGTAAATAATCAAGTCTGGACCAGACAATCCAGTGATTGACATCATGAGCATCGATCCACGCAATTAGGATATGTTTTATCAACCAAGTCGGTTAGTCTGACCACCTGATCCCATTACTTGCCTCTTGGACATAAAGTGATGACTTCTTTCAAATTTGTGGGGGCCGGGGGATTTGTATCAATAGGAAAACTTAAGTAGTAAAGTACATGTACTCACGGAAATGAAAAAAACCTGTTTTGCTGGATTTAATAATCGACACAAAGCATTATGTAGATGTAAATACGAAATAACAAAACAACTGGAAAAGTACTAGTCTGGATTTGCTAGTTTTATCTCAGTGCTCAATACAAAATGTACTTTACAGGAGGTAATTTGTAGGCACTTTCAACATTAAAAAATAAAACTAAGTCCAAATTGACATGGCAGAAACAGGCTATAGGCATTATGCAAATTAGCCTGGAAAAAAGTTATCAAAACAATAAAAATAACAGCTATGTACATAATAATAATAATGACATGTAAGTTGTTTGAGAAGGGAATATGTTACTTTTACGTTCTGATATTTTGACAATGATTCACTATCCCACAATGCCACTCACAAATCACTAACCACTGACAAATCACATGAATGTGGGTTTCAAGCACCTGTTTTCACCTGTCGTCAAGGTGTCATAGGTTATTGACCTGGTTATGCTCAGTTTCACAATAGTCTGTTTTGTTCATATTTTTACACTTTTACGTGTAAAAAGACATAAAAACCTTTGATACGCTGTATTTGTGACAAGGCCCAATTAGTACTAATTGAGTTGTTTGAATATTTATATATTTTGTATATTAACTGCATTTATCTGAGATCGAAAAATATTTTTTTTCATTTCCGTGAGTACTTTAGTCTACAGACTCGCTGCCTCTGTTCACTCATATTGGGAATATTAGATTGTAGTTTATCAAGAGAGAAGCATGGAGTTTCTTGAGTCACCTCATTTGCATATTTAAAGAATTGTGATACAAAGATTATTGGATGGGATATTAGTCATATGTATAACATGTCTAAATCATAAAAATGGACAATTTTTAATTCCTGTAAATAATCAAGCCTGGACCAGACAATCCTGTGATTGACATGGGCATCGATCCACGCAATTGGGGTATGCCGACATGCATGAACCAAGTGAGCGAGCCTACCCACCTAATCCCTTACGAAAAGTATGCAAGTATAGGTCATGTGTGTTGGTGATTCTGACAGGTGATAAGGTGTACTTGACTTTCAGTAACCTTTCCATTTCCAAAGAGGGTGTTTTAGTAAAATGTCAAATACTTACTTTCTGCAAATCCAAACCTGATGTGTATTTTTATGAAATTAGAGTAAAACATCAATTTCATAATCTATGTGACCATTAGGACTGTCAAACACAATTTTCTGATAATTTAGGAAACCAAACTAGTGTCATGCAGAGTTGCTTCCCTTGGGCTTCACTTCATGGATTCCTTCCACATTAAGCTGACATGCCGTGATATCAATGAAACACTGTTCAAAGCGGTGTTAACCTCACCTCTGTGGTTGATACACGAACAACACAAGGAGCTCATTTGTACAAATTTTATTTACCATGAGATTGCACTTCAGTGTTGTTGTTAGGGATGAACTTCAAAATATACATCTGATCACCAGAGTCGACTACAGCTATCAACATGTACAACCTCCACCAGGGGATGGCGGCCACCGCCTGGTCCACACCTTCAGCTGGTAACACAGAGGTGGGCGGCACACATCGTACCCAAAGCTACCCAGTACCCCGATTGTTTCCAGTTTAATGCTGCACTCTGCAATGTTCCAGCGATATGATGACGGCAGTCGGAATATAATCCAGTCTTGACCAGATAAACCAGTGGATATAATGAGCAATGTCCTTCACCTTCGGGGCAAGTCGCCTAGCCTGACCACTTCTACCGTAGTCGCCCTTCATAACAAGCAGTGAGTGAGTGAGTGAGTATGGTTTTACGCCGCTTTTAGCAATATTCCAGCAATATCACGGCGGGGGACACCAGAAATGGGCTTCACACATTGTACCCATGTCGGGAATCGAACCCGGGTCTTCGGCGTGACGAGCGAACGCTTTAACCACTAGGCTACCCGACCGCCCCTCATAACAAGCAGAGGCTGCTAACCCGGAATCCTCAGTGATCACCACTGATTTTTGACGAATTAAGAAGAACTGACAACAATTTGCCATGAAACATTATTACAAGATTACTGTCTCAAAAGGGGAAAAAATAAATAGAATTATGAAAAATTCCACAATGAGCAACTTATATTCTGGGAACTTATCTTTTCATTATCGAAAATCAACATCATCAATGTCTAGTCTATACTATATAGTCTATAGTCAATACTTGTCTTTCTTTAACCGTATTCGACATAATAAGCACCCAGGGCGCTCTCAAAATAAGAAAAAGGTTGAAAGATCGAAAATTTCGTGGTTTTTGCTGACAGCCTGAAATGTTTATATAAGACTATATATTTTTCCAGGATTTAATTGCCCATAGTTTAGGGTGCATATAACACACGAGTGCGTATTATACACGAATAAATAAGTCTTGTGCACATTGATTTATCAGAAGGGGTGCTATTTGGGATTGTTCACTAGCCAATACATTAGCAAATATCGCCGTGGGCGCTTATTAGAGCGGGGCACTTATTACATTGAATACAGTATATCTTAACACTAATTATCTTGTGTATGATTAACTATACAACCTTGTAAATACCATGGAGAGGGAGTCCTAACTTGGATGACTTGTTCCCAATCCATTTCAGAGTGAATAAAATATGTTTAAACAAGCTAAACCTGATCTAAATGAGTGACATTTAAACCTAATGGGCTACCCACTGCCTTTCCCCTCCAAGGAGAATTGCATGTGACAATTCTGAGTCCTGTTATTCCGGGTTGAAACAAGCCCCCAGCAAGGTAAGCTGGTTGTCAGAGTTGACAAAACGGATCGGGTGAGGCTTGGTGACTTGGACAGCGCGGATCATTGCTCACAATATCAATCACAGGATTGTCTGGTCCAGATTCGTTTATTTACATGCCGCTATCATAAGTCTGGAATATCGTTGAGTCAGTGTTAAAAAACAAGACAATCTTCAGCTGGAGAGGAGAGGCCGTCGTCCGCCTGGTGGGGGAGTGACAGCTCTGTACATTCAGTGCACGGTGCTGTACAGTGGGGTCGCAGCAAACTGGCCAGGCAAAGCACTAGTACTACATAGCGGTTGTCGGGACATACATATTGCTATTGACGAGCAACTTGGTCACGGAGCCACTAGACATGGCTGAATGTGGTGTGAAATGTACACATGGCTGCCCTCATTGGTCTGTGGCAATGTACAATGGCGAAATGCAACTTACACACCCTCGAGACCTTCAAGAAGGGGAGTTATGTTGGCATGAGAAACACCGCCCAACTTGGCACAGGAATCTGGCATTACGAATAAAAGAATTAAATTCCTTTAAAATTGGTGATGACATTAAGATTTACTTGAAACATGTAGAAATGATTAAAGAGCAAGAGATTAAACATTTTCTAATCTGGGTACTGGTCAAAAGGTTATGGTTTTCTAACTTGATGAAATTGGTTCGTCATGTCAAGTTTGTCAACATCGGCATCAAAGTTGGCACATACAAGTAAAATGTGGTACAATATGAAAACTCTCATACATTAAATCTCACTTAAATCCGATCTTTTACCGAGTTGATACCCCTCTCATGGTGTCACACCTTCAATACAAGGTCACGACGGGTGAACTTTCGACTGCCTAGTTAAACTGAATGTTGTTTTGAGTTTTGAACCAATCAAATATAAGATTTGTCAAACATTTGGCTTCACTACATTCTTTATTCTGTCAACACGATATGTCATAAGAAGCATTTGCTAGGTAAATTTCTGTTCCCTGATTTAGAGATTTCTATCTGAACAAAAGAAACCCTACGCAGATTATCACTTTAGGTGTAGATACAACAGCAATTAGAAATGATGGTGTAAAATTTAAAATACAAAGACTTTTTTTATCCTCCATTCGGAACTGTCTGTTTACATTCATTTTTGAGATAAACACATACAAAGATTCTAAGCTGATTAGAATGTTCACCTTACATCCCTCCTGCAAAAGTATGTAAGGTCTTGACAGATTTATCAAATACGAATAAAAGATCCAATTTTCATGAGATTGAGGTTCACTCAACTTGTATATCTTGAAACACACTTGACATGTTCAACACAATAAAGCTACCACAATGTTGTCACTTCCAGGTACATCATCACATTAGCACATCAAGGGAGCAGTTGTTTCAAGTCCGACAACTTCTACAGACCAGGAAGAGGTTAAATAAAAACATTTTTGACAGATCATGTATCGAAGGATTCTCTGGAAGTACTCGTGAGAAAAGCAATCACATACACCAACATACATGTCAAGTGCTATACATCATGGACCAATCAAATTGATCCTTGCATCAGTGGCCGAGGTACAAAGATTATGATTGGTTTCAAACAGGTGACCATTCTATACAAACTTTGTACATTGGGAATACAATCATCCACAAAAAAGCTGCAGACTGCCATACCACACTCAAGATGAAAATTTCAACCTTGGAAAAATCACTGCTAGCCTTTATTTTAAATTAAATTAAAACTGGATTAAAAGTGCCCCATGTAACAGACACACACCCCAAAAAATTAAAAAAATAAAAATTTAAAAAATACATAATATTTCTTTTATTAAACTTAGACTTTTTTATTACTGACAATAAATGACACTAAATATATATTTTACAAAATTTATTCTCCCACTATAAGTAAAAAAATTCCCCAATCTTTTGTCGTCACATTAATAACAACACTAAATAATTCTTTGTATCACGGCTCGGCTAGCAGTGTCCTACTAACAGGTTCCTTCACCCATCCACACAGTACATCACCATGACAACACAGAGCAGGTTCTGTACATGAGTATCAACAACACACGACATCTACCAGTTAGTCCCACTGCACTATCACAATTCAGGGGAGATAACTCACACAACCAGTCACAACACATGATCAAGAATCCAATGGTTGGCTTGGAGTAAAGGGTTCAATGCTAAATTCAATACATAAACTTTATTAATGAAGTGATTATCAATTAATTACGGTTAAACATTTTTTTACTTTATTTTTGAGATAAAAAAGGGTATCATAAAAAACAGGAGTACACTTTCTATATATAAAGAACTATTGGTGAATTTGAAAGGTGTATCTGTTTTGGTCTTGAGCCAGTCTGACCGATGATACAGTTCCTAGATAAATTTAAAATCTCTCAAACTAACTCATATACAATCTAGAATTTCTTCTTTTTCACTTACAAGAATATCCTACAGGTGAGCAGTGTATATTACACACAGTTCACCATTTTATAACAAACCTATTCAATAAACCTATCTGAAATTAAAACAAATTTTCACTATGAAACATCATTTCAGTCAAACTTTATCTGATTCTATCCAAGAGACGTACAAAATATGATAACAGCATCAGCTAAAAACAATGAAACCTAAAAGCGAGAATACATGAAAATCGAGACAACTCGATTTGTCAATAACCTTGAACTATTGACATCATTAAGTCATTTCTCTTAAAGTGTTTGTAAGAGAAATGCCCTGCCCTCTTGTCAGTATAGCTGCTGGGGAGAACACACCGTGACATTTTGGTCCCCGGGTTTCTTTGTTGCCTAACAACCAATCCAGATAAAAGCCATTTAAACCAAAAATCTTCTTGATGAATCAGGATGGACATGAATGTGCAGTATTCACAAAAGGTAAAGCAACATTGTTTTCATTCAATTACACAGGACCAATGTTATTTCAGGAGAGAAAAAGAAAGAGATATTTTTAGAGATTATGCAAATAAAGTAATAACCATTTCTAAAGGAAAATAAAAACAAATTTTGGATATCATTTCACAAATGTCGCTTATTATTTGCGCAACTTGATTATTTTCTTAGCCAGCCTCTCTCAAAACAAAAAGAGGTTAAAATAAGCAAGTTGACTTAAATCAAACTGCATTTGTTTTTTCGTTTTTTTTTACAATGTCAAATTAATACTTAAGAAACAAACTGGGACAGGCCTTATTTTCCAGATTAATCTATGCAAGGCTACCTGATTGTAACCACAACCTGTCAATATACATCTTGAATAGCAAACAAATGTTTTGATTAAAAACTTTGACAGCCTCTCATATGGAAACATAAACACTGATTTCATACAAAAGTATGAACATGCAATGTAAATATCTCTTCATGGTTAATCCTTTACAAGGACGTACAATGTGTTAGTTTCCAGCACTAAAGTATAAAAGAAGAAAATGTAAAAATCAACAATCAACACAAGGGTCTATAGTGTGCATTACACCGGCAGAATAAAGGTCTGCTAAAACATCGTCCAATAAAAGCATACAATGACAGTTCCCATCTTCACGACCATAATGCTTAGATTTATCAAATGAATTTGTTGCCATCATTTCCAGGTACAATAAGTGAATGGTTTTAACAAGATTGAATACTACCCCATACCGGTATTAAAATACAGTAAACTACGGTTATAACGAACTCAAAGGGACCACTAATTTTAGTTATATCCGTGGTTCATTACACGCATTTCGACCGTCAGACATCTTTTATCAAGTCACGAGACATCTCACTCGATAAATAACAAAAGTGTGCACTGTACATGTACAGAATATATCCACTTCAATCACTGTGTTACTATTGTTAATTGAGGGTGCAATTTGAAGACAAGTTGTCAGTGCTTAAAAGTAAATCACTTGCCTTCAATTGTTGATTGAGGCTTTGAATAACAGCGTTTGGCCGCAGATGTTTTGGTAGGCAGATTGGTGACACGTTACACGCTCAGCTCAAGAATTAACAGTTCGTTATCCACTTAAACATTATCGTTGACAGAGTACACGCGAGACCACAAGGTGAGTTCACTATGTCCATTATTTCGTTATGAGCATGTTCGTTATATCAGTCAACTTTATATGATAAAATATATGGCAAATGGACGTGACCAAAAGAACAGTTCTATATATCCGTCAGTTCGTTATAAACATAGTTTACTGTATACCCCATACAGGTATTCAAATATACCCCATACAGGTATTCAAATATACCCCATGGAGGTATTCAAATATACCCCATACAGGTATTCAAATATACCCCATACAGGTATTCAACTATACCCCATACAGGTATATTCAAATATACCCCATGGAGGTATTCAAATATACCCCATACAGGTATTCAAATATACACCATACAGGTATTCAAATATACACCATACAGATATTCCAATATAACCTGAGAAAAAAATAAGCCCCACCCCTTCTTTTTTTCAGATATTCTGAATTCCCATGTATGTTTGGAAATATCTACACGTGACATTGATCTCACTTTGATAAATGTCTTTGATGCCGCCAATACCTGCAGTAAGTTGGTACGTTCCTCACGATGGTCGCAAGGACAGGGTCATTTCCCATGATGCCAAGAAGAAAAGGGTGGTAGAAAAACTATGGTAAAGTTTAAAAACAGGTCATGCAAAATCGATTCCTGTTTCTGTAAGTAAAAAAAATTAATACAGGATACAATTTAAAAAATGGCTATTTTATATGGAAATATATAGTAAGAGGTGCTCAACTTTTGTCAAGGTCAAGGTGACTATAACCTGGCTAGAATCAGTCCACTCCTGTGATGTGTTCTTAAAGAGGCTCTCCTCTACATCAATAAGGCTGGGTCTGACTTTTTGTCTCAGTAAGAACAGCGTGCCTAAACCACTCCATGAGGATGGGTTTTAAAGGGGCAGGGGCTGATACAAATAATAATAATTTAATCTCATTTCTTTTTTCAAAAGAAAGAAATTTCATCTTTCAAATAGTACTTCTCTTGAAATTGAGCATTTCATGTCACTGATCTGTCTTGGTGACAGGGGTTTTGTGGTACATGAAAATAACATAACTAATTTATCACAGCTGTCACATGGAATCACTCAGCATCAGTTACCATGGAGACTGTAACCAAGGTAACTGGAGTATGGTAGCTCTGCTTGAGGGATGTCTGTTGGTATGAGCCTGTACTTACTGCACGACTTGGACTGTCGCGTAGAGGAGTGTCCGAACATGACGGAAATCTTTAATAAATATTCCTTTCTCAGTATCATTTTCAGTTGATTATTATTATTATTATTATTATTATTACCTGAGCTTACTAGATCCAACAGAATTTTACTGGCCTAAGGCATTGGGCTAGTGGCTAAAGGCTGCACCAATAAATACCAGCAGATGTCGTGTTGGAGACAGCAGTTCTTGTATACAACACATAACTTGGCCATATTACTTATTTACGACTCACGACTTACGATTTTTCATGGCATGACAGATTTACTATAGTCTTATGAAAACATCGGGTGTTCTTTAACTTCTGTTAAGTAGTGTACATATGAATTGGAACATGACCACGCAACTTATTCTGTACCCTATAAGAAACATCACAGTCATGGACTAGGAAGGGGGCCAACTCTCTGGTACCCATGTAACTACTACCAATCTCTTCCGGGTACCCATGCAATTACTACAAATCTCTTCCGGGTACCCATGTAACTACTACCAATCTCTTCCGGGTACCCATGCAACTGCTACCAATCTCTTCCGGGTACCCATGCAACTACTACCAATCTCTTCCGGGTACCCATGCAACTACTACCAATCTCTTCCGGGTACCCATGCAACTGCTACCAATCTCTTCCGGGTACCCATACAACTGCTACCCAATCTCACCCGTGTATCTACTTTGAATACTTTGTCAGTGAATTTTGCCTGATATTTTGACTCTGTGATGTGATAAGCTACCTGTTCGGCGCCATTTCATCCTACCTGGTACCCCTTTGCTGCTTATTCATTCTTAGTAAATTCCTTCGATAAAAGTTTACCATCGTGATGAGTACAAATTCTACCCGGGTAATAAAATGTGTTTATTCCACCCGTGATGAAAGACACCCACCCAGCCTGAAGACAAGCCATACATTTCAATGGTAAATAGTGTCTTCAACTCAAGTCGACAACAATGTTTGAGTTTGAGCATTAGGTACGTTAAGTAACACCAGACAATGAATGACTCCGGATGTGAAACAAATGGTTCGATGTCTGCTCCTGCAGTTGACGTGAGTAAAACAAATATCACAGGATTAAAAGATACAGATGTAAACAGAATATATTATGACTAGTTTCTTCTCTTTGACAGATGTGGTATGAAGAAAGAGATAATATCGTTTTTCTATTCACCTCACTTTTGTTTTTTTCACCCCAAAACCCACCAAATCAAAACATTTTTATCCAAGAATGTAATCTATTATTTGATGAACTAAAATCTGTAGGTTTTATGGAATGAGTGAGTGGTTTTGGGAGTGTTGTTTTAGCAATAGTACAGCTGAATTATGCAACTGTAAAGTAACCATACCTTGACTATCAAACTAGAGGTTGATATCATGAGCATGTCATATGGAAATAGTCAGGAAGGAGTCTGGAATACAAGAATACTGAATAGTAACTCCGACCCAATCTCATAAATAACAACCTCACAACCTTGATACAATACCTTACTGCATGAGGATCTAAAACCCTTATATAGAACGTCACGTCAGGTGAAATTTGGAGTTAACTTCGACCACCCAATCTAAATGAAGTATGCACAGGTTCTTGCACTAATCAGAAGTAATTTCTTTTTAACAATTTCGTTTCATTTCCAAACCCCCAAATTTGGGAACTTTTAACATATTGCAAACACAACACCACACAAATCTAGTACTCATTTTGGGTCAAGGTGATGCTCAGAAATGACAGATTGTATAAAATCTCCACAACAACATGACAACAAAGACTTTAGTATTTACATTCTGAACTGGCCAATTAAGTTAGTGTTTGAGATACAGAAATCAGGTATTCTGATTCACACACTTTAGTGAGAATTTATAAGCCTTGACACTGATTTGTTTATTAAAAACTTCGCCTGACACAGCCTCCTAATAGGGAGATGTCAGGTTTTTATGCAGGGAGGTATCGATTTGGATCCAGGAGGTATCGATTCAGATCCAGGAGGTATCGTCTCGGATCCAGGAGGTATCGATTCAGATCCAGGAGGTATCAATTCGGATCCAGTAGGTATTGATTCGGATCTAGGTGGTATTGATTTGGATCCAGGAGGTATCAATTCGGATCCAGTAGGTATCGATTCGGATCTAGGTGGTATTGATTTGGATCCAGGAGGTATCGAATCGGATCCAGGAGGTATCGAATCATATGCAGGGAGTATTATATCGGAGTGAAAGAGCTGACTGCAATATCAACTGAAGAAGGCCCTTAAAGACCCTTGACATGACCTAAACTGACAAACTATGGGTTTCACAATGAAAGAGACTTCTTTTATAAAATTAAATTGAAATAAATTATCAACACGATGTGTGTAACAAATGTGAAGATGTAAAAGTCCCCAGCTGCCAGATTGTGCCATCAGTTTCTGGAATACCACACTTGTCAAAGAGGAAGGATCACACGACATGGTGTAAAACACAAACATAGGCTGGTCTGTAGAACGTGAGGACATAGCACATCGTGTGAATAAATAAATAAATAAATAAATATCTTCTATGTGAAATATATTAATTCACTCCCAAATTCATTATAAATATACAAGAACGTTGTAAATGTGAAAGTTCAGCATCTACAAGAATATATTTGGAGATTCTATCCCTGCTGATTCTGACTAGTCAAAATGCAAAAATGGTATGTGGTTCTGATAAGATCAAGTCATTATGTTACATGAAAACAGACACTTTCTTAAATCATTGCAAATACCCTACTGAACATTTGGTAATTAGCATATTTCTGCAGGCAAGAAAGCGCATAAGCTTTAAAAATTAAAACTGAAATGAAAAAAGACAGTTATAAAAGAAAAAAGCAACAACTTAATTTTTAATTCTAAAATATACAGATAAATTTGTTACCTTTTTTTTCAAGTTCAAAAGCAGAAAATGGATCCATTTGAATAAAAACAAATCAGTTAACATATTATGTTTTTTAAAAACATGCACTAGAACGCTTTGTATTAACAGCAACATATAGCACCAAAAAACAGTAACTCAATATCCTTCCATCTTTCATGCTGTGACATATTGCATATTGGTGCCCACCTTAGGACCTGATGCACTATAAACCACTACAGGTATACCTATTCGACTCTAAACATACAAAATCAGTTGTTCAGTAAGTTCAATCTCACTTTGGGCACAGCTCTGGTTTGGCCCAATTTGCATATTTCTTACAAGTCATTTCATTGGTCGGTCAGCCATGGTGAGAATACTGTCAATGTTTGTGATTGGTCCAGTCTTGGAGAGGGTGGCAAGGTTGGGGATGGCCAATCACTTTTATTACCAATTGTTCCCTTGTGTATATATACAAAGATGTCCGTCCTCAAACCTTGTCTCTCTGTACATTCTCTGATAAAACTTTGCGGTCTTTTGTGGATTGTCTACGTGGAGGTAATGGAGGTCTCTTGTCTAATGGCTGAAAATAAACAAAACAATAAACAATAAACAAAATGAGTTTGCAAATGAGAAACTGGATTGAAATTAAGAAAAATAAATCAATTATAATGGAGTAGGTTTTGCTTAATGCTGTTTGTACAGTATTTTAAAAAGTCTTTTAAAACATCCATAACAACATAATGACAAGGCCTTTATTTTTTACATTTGGTGCAGTCCGTTTACGTCAGTTTTTGAGATACAGAAATCAGTTATTTCTACTGGATTGAAATAAATTTATTGCCACCTTGTACAGTATTCTAGTTATATCACAGTGTATCAGTTTGAACAGTATTCCAGTTATGTCACATCTGACATCGAGCTGACCAACCTAGAAACATAATTGGGGCAAACTGGGATTCGCATCCATGACCCGACCACCTGATCCCGTTAGTATGGGTTGGTGAAGACCAATTATAATCCGGATCTTCACGGGTAAGTTCATAGTAATAACAGAGGTGTAGCAGGGGTATGTGGTTCCTTGGGAAATGTGTTACAAACTGTTTTAGTATGTTTGTCTATTGCTAATTCTCTGCCAACAAAAACAACTTGTTGGCTGAGGTTTTAATGAACCCACGCCTTTATTATGGTGAATACATATAAATAATTTCATTGCATTTGGAACAATGGCTGATCAATGGCCATAATAAGTCTGAACTCGGGTCTTTGGCATGACGAGCAAACGCTTTAACCACTCGGCTAAACCCCCCCCCCCCACCAATGTTTAGGACACATGATGAAAAACACATGCAGGTGCTGGAAACACAGACCATGACACAAGCTCACTTGACTTTCAGTCAGGTGAGCTAAAAATGTTTGATTTTTTCTGTGACAATATCCAGTACAAATTACAGGTGATATTTCAGGACAATAACAGAAATTGGGACTAGTTCTGTAGTCCTTACGAAGCTGCATAATTAATAATGTGTCATAAGGACTAGTAGAAATTAGCCATTTTTAAGGGTTTTGCTATATGTTGTCATGATGAAGACTAGTGGACTAAAACTGTTAGTTTCTATCGCTGAATAATCGTAACATAATTCCAGTAATTGTAATGGCGGAATTTATTTCATAATTGTTAGCATCTATGCAACCCATGCAGTTTTAAAAAAAATGAAAAGGGCTATTTTTTTAGCCAGCTTATTGACAATTACAAGGGAGAGAACATGTAAGCAGATTTGGGTGTGGCTCTCACATCTTCTTCTCCGTTCTCTTTGGCTGCTGTACAGTAGGAGGGTGGGGTGTGGTCGGAGGAGTAGGACGCCGTGCTGTCTGTGCTGATTTTCCGGTTGTTCTCCCCTCGCGGCGCTGACATGAGCGCCTGGATGTGTTCGCACACACGTCGGAAACGCCGGGATGGACCTGCACATACATTACAAACACACACTTAATAGTGCTGAATATTTAGGGGCCTGCATTATACACACTGGAGACAGAAACAGGCCTACTGTTTTATGTACCTGAGACTAGAGTGAATGTGAGACAGAGGCAGGCTGGTCTACGTACCTGAGACGAGTGAATGTGAGACAGAAGCTGGTGTCTCTCTACGTACCTGAGACTAGAGTGAATGTGAGACAGAAGCTGGTGTCTCTCTACGTACCTAAGACTAGAGTGAATGTGAGACAGAAGCTGGTGTCTCTCTACGTACCTGTGACGAGTGAATGTGAGACAGAAGCTGGTGTCTCTCTACGTACCTAAGACTAGAGTGAATGTGAGACAGAAGCTGGTGTCTCTCTACGTACCTAAGACTAGAGTGAATGTGAGACAGAAGCTGGTGTCTCTCTCCGTACCTGAGACGAGTGAATGTGAGACAGAAGCTGGTGTCTCTCTACGTACCTGTGACGAGTGAATGTGAGACAGAAGCTGGTGTCTCTCTACGTACCTGAGACTAGAGTGAATGTGAGACAGAAGCTGGTGTCTCTCTACGTACCTAAGACTAGAGTGAATGTGAGACAGAAGCTGGTGTCTCTCTACGTACCTGTGACGAGTGAATGTGAGACAGAAGCTGGTGTCTCTCTACGTACCTAAGACTAGAGTGAATGTGAGACAGAAGCTGGTGTCTCTCTACGTACCTAAGACTAGAGTGAATGTGAGACAGAAGCTGGTGTCTCTCTCCGTACCTGAGACGAGTGAATGTGAGACAGAAGCTGGTGTCTCTCTACGTACCTGTGACGAGTGAATGTGAGACAGAAGCTGGTGTCTCTCTACGTACCTGAGACTAGAGTGAATGTGAGACAGAAGCTGGTGTCTCTCTACTTACCTGAGACTAGAGTGAATGTGAGACAGAAGCTGGTGTCTCTCTATGTACCTGAGACGAGTGAATGTGAGACAGAAGCTGGTGTCTCTCTACGTACCTGAGACTAGAGTGAATGGGAGACAGAGGCAGGCTGGTCTACGTACCTGAGACGAGTGAATGTGAGACAGAAGCTGGTGTCTCTCTACGTACCTAAGACTAGAGTGAATGTGAGACAGAAGCTGGTGTCTCTCTCCGTACCTGAGACTAGAGTGAATGTGAGACAGAGGCAGGCTGGTCTACGTACCTGAGACTAGAGTGAATGTGAGACAGAAGCTGGTGTCTCTCTACGTACCTGAGACTAGAGTGAATGTGAGACAGAAGCTGGTGTCTCTCTACGTACCTGAGACTAGAGTGAATGTGAGACAGAAGCTGGTGTCTCTCTCTGTACCTGAGACTAGAGTGAATGTGAGACAGAAGCTGGTGTCTCTCTCTCTACGTACCTGAGACTAGAGTGAATGTGAGACAGAAGCTGGTGTCTCCCTCCGTATCTGAGACTAGAGTGAATGTGAGACAGAAGCTGGTGTCTCTCTACGTATCTGAGACTAGAGTGAATGTGAGACAGAAGCTGGTGTCTCTCTCCGTACCTGAGACTAGAGTGAATGTGAGACAGAAGCTGGTGTCTCTCTACGTACCTGAGACTAGAGTGAATGTGAGACAGAAGCTGGTGTCTCTCTCTCTACATATCTGAGACTAGAGTGAATGTGAGACAGAAGCTGGTGTCTCTCTACGTACCTGAGACTAGAGTGAATGTGAGACAGAAGCTGGTGTCTCTCTACGTACCTGAGACTAGAGTGAATTGGAGACAGAAGCTGGTGTCTCTCTCTCTACGTACCTGAGACTAGAGTGAATGTGAGACAGAAGCTGGTGTCTCTCTACGTACCTGAGACTAGAGTGAATGTGAGACAGAAGCTGGTGTCTCTCTCCGTACCTGAGACTAGAGTGAATGGGAGACAGAAGCTGGTGTCTCTCTCTCTACGTACCTGAGACTAGAGTGAATGTGAGACAGAAGCTGGTGTCTCCCTCCGTACCTGAGACTAGAGTGAATGTGAGACAGAAGCTGGTGTCTCTCTCCGTACCTGAGACTAGAGTGAATGTGAGACAGAAGCTGGTGTCTCTCTCCGTACCTGAGACTAGAGTGAATGTGAGACAGAAGCTGGTGTCTCTCTCTCTACGTATCTGAGACTAGAGTGAATGTGAGACAGAAGCTGGTGTCTCTCTCCGTACCTGAGACTAGAGTGAATGTGAGACAGAAGCTGGTGTCTCTCTACGTACCTGAGACTAGAGTGAATGGGAGACAGAAGCTGGTGTCTCTCTCTCTACGTATCTGAGACTAGAGTGAATGTGAGACAGAAGCTGGTGTCTCTCTACGTACCTGAGACTAGAGTGAATGTGAGACAGAAGCTGGTGTCTCTCTACGTACCTGAGACTAGAGTGAATGGGAGACAGAAGCTGGTGTCTCTCTCTCTACGTACCTGAGACTAGAGTGAATGTGAGACAGAAGCTGGTGTCTCTCTCCGTACCTGAGACTAGAGTGAATGTGAGACAGAAGTTGGTGTCTCTCTCCGTACCTGAGACTAGAGTGAATGTGAGACAGAAGCTGGTGTCTCTCTCCGTACCTGAGACTAGAGTGAATGTGAAACAGAAGCTGGTGTCTCTCTCTCTACGTATCTGAGACAAGAGTGAATGTGAGACAGAAGCTGGTGTCTCTCTACGTACCTGAGACTAGAGTGATTGGAGACAGAAGCTGGTGTCTCTCTCTCTACGTACCTGAGACTAGAGTGAATGTGAGACAGAAGCTGGTGTCTCTCTCTCTACGTACCTGAGACTAGAGTGAATGTGAGACAGAAGCTGGTGTCTCTCTCCGTACCTGAGACTAGAGTGAATGTGAGACAGAAGCTGGTGTCTCTCTCCGTGACTGAGACTAGAGTGAATGTGAGACAGAAGCTGGTGTCTCTCTCTCTACGTATCTGTGACTAGAGTGAATGTGAGACAGAAGCTGGTGTCTCTCTACGTACCTGAGACTAGAGTGAATGGGAGACAGAAGCTGGTGTCTCTCTACGTACCTGAGACTAGAGTGAATGGGAGACAGAAGCTGGTGTCTCTCTCTCTACGTACCTGAGACTAGAATGAATGTGAGACACTAACTGGTGTCTCTCTACGTACCTGAGACTAGAGTGAATGTGAGACAGAAGCTGGTGTCTCTCTCCGTACCTGAGACTAGAGTGAATGTGAGACAGAAGCTGGTGTCTCTCTACGTACCTGAGACTAGAGTGAATGTGAGACAGAAGCTGGTGTCTCTCTACGTACCTGAGACTAGAGTGAATGTGAGACAGAAGCTGGTGTCTCTCTCTCTACGTACCTGAGACTAGAGTGAATGTGAGACAGAAGCTGGTGTCTCTCTACGTACCTGAGACGAGTGAATGTGAGACAGAAGCTGGTGTCTCTCTCCGTACCTGAGACTAGAGTGAATGTGAGACAGAAGCTAGTGTCTCTCTACGTACCTGAGACTAGAGTGAATGTGAGACAGAAGCTGGTGTCTCTCTCCGTACCTGAGACTAGAGTGAATGTGAGACAGAAGCTGGTGTCTCTCTCTCTACGTACCTGAGACTAGAGTGAATGTGAGACAGAAGCTGGTGTCTCTCTCCGTACCTGAGACTAGAGTGAATGTGAGACAGAAGCTGGTGTCTCTCTACGTACCTGAGACTAGAGTGATTGGAGACAGAAGCTGGTGTCTCTCTACGTACCTGAGACTAGAGTGAATGTGAGACAGAAGCTGGTGTCTCTCTCCGTATCTGAGACTAGAGTGAATGTGAGACAGAAGCTGGTGTCTCTCTCCGTACCTGAGACTAGAGTGAATGTGAGACAGAAGCTGGTGTCTCTCTACGTACCTGAGACTAGAGTGATTGGAGACAGAAGCTGGTGTCTCTCTACGTACCTGAGACTAGAGTGAATGTGAGACAGAAGCTGGTGGCGTTGGCGCTGTCCCTCTCACCGGGCGCCGGGCTGATGTCAACCTGGAAGCGGACATTCCTGGAAAACATGGAGGAGCTGCCGCCACGACGATACTCCGCCCGGAACGTGGACGTAGACACCACACTGTGGCTGAGATCTGAAGTCTGTAACGAGGAAGGACATTGTCATGATTCATGAAAGGTAAACATTGTAACATTCATGGTTACTGTATTTAGCGGTTTACAAGTGTGTTATAACTGGACATAATTGGTCTGAACCATGCACTCACGGATTGTAATGTGTGGACCTGGTCCTAACCATTTACTCAGAGAGAGGAATGTGTGGACCTGGTCTGAACCATTTACTCACAGATAGGAATGCATGGACCTGGTCTGAACCATTTACTCACAGATAGGAATGCGTGAACCTGGTCTGAACCATGTACTCACAGATAGGAATACATGGACCAGGTCTGAACCATGTACTCACAGATAGGAATGCGTGAACCTGGTCTGAACCATTTACTCACTGATGGGAATGCGTGGACCAGGTCTGAACCATGTACTCACAGATAGGAATGCGTGAACCTGGTCTGAACCATCTACTCACAGATAGGAATGCATGGACCTGGTCTGAACCATGTACTCACAGATAGGAATGCGTGAACCTGGTCTGAACCATGTACTCACAGATAGGAATGCGTGGACCAGGTCTGCCTTGACCTGGCTGAAGGTCTTGTCGCGAACCATCATGAAGTGGTGTTCCTGCTCCATGCCCATGAGACCACCGAACCACGACCGCTTGGCCAGTCTGCAACACACAAGGACATACTCAGAGAACACCAGAGAACATCACAGGACCCCAGAGAACACCAGAGAACATCATAGAACTGAATATAGTAACACTGACAACCTGAGTCTCTTTCCACAATTGTCATAAGTCTATGTTAAGGTATTATTGGAGTTACGATTGTCTTAGTGATCTTAGCGCCAAGATTGTCGTAAGTCTATGTTAAGGTATGGGAATTACGATTGTCTTAGTGATCTTAGCACGAAGATTGTCATAGGTCCATGTTAAGGCATAGGAGTTTTATTAGTCTTAGTGATCTTAGTTTTATGATTGTCATAGGTCTATGTTAAAGCATGGAAGTAATGAGTGTCTTGGTGATCTTAGCACCATGATTGCCATGAGTTAAAGTATGGGAGTTATCTTAGCGCCAAGATTGTCGTAAGACTATGTTAAAGTATGGGAGTAACGATTGTTGTAGTGATCTCAGGGCCATGATTGTCATAAGTCTATGTTAAAGGATGGGAGTTACAATTGTCTTAGTGATCTTGGCGCTATGATTGTCATAAATCTATGTTTAAGTATGAGAGTTACGACTGTCTTAGAGATCTTAGCGCCATGATTGTTGTAAGTCTGTGTTATGGTATGGGAGTTATGATTGTCTTAGTGATCTTAGCTCAACGACTGTCTTAAGTAAATTTTAAAGAATGGGAGTTACAATAGTCTTAGCGCTAAGATCGCTTTTAGGAACCGGGCTCTTGACCTAGTATCTGATACATTCCTAAAGACATTTTGCTTCTTAATACAAATTTGAACTGATAAAAACATAACACCTTAATCCACAAGTCTTGCAGCTTTCATACAGGAACAAAAAACACAAGTGTAACAGAAAATAGTGCCACTTACTCAGGGGAGGAGTCTGGAGTCATGGATATCTCGTCTGACGTCGGAACTGCGGACACACAGCAAATACATTAAAAACATGACACACATCCACCTCAACAGCCCTCCAGCAAAACTCTCAACTCAAATTTTAAGCAATGAATAACTGCTACAGGCTTAGTTTTGAAATTACAACAGGGTTTAGCATTACACCAATCATTCCAAGCCCAAGCTGATGCAGAGACGAATACCAATTCATAATTCAAAATTACTGTGTAAAATTCATACATTTATACACCACACTACAAAACATATGATTATTAGGAAAATTAAATCTTTTTCAATATTAACCTGTCCAGAAAAGAAACCTATGAAGGAGGATATATGTTACTGTGTCTAACACTAAACAAGTACAATTGTTCTACAAATGATCAATTAATGTCATTCTTAAAGTTGATATTTTGTCATATTTCAACAAGTTTCCAATGCATTTCAAAAACGGAACGTCATGCATATTATGTAACATCAACGAGGTTCAGAGAAACAAGTAACACGATAGATATTTGGTCAATCAAATCTAACACCAAATCAGATTTCAGACTTCTACGAAAGATTTTACGCAGAGATTACTTGCAATTTCAGTGAGATTGACAGGCTATCTACTATCGTTAATTTCACTCCATGTGAAATGAACAAGTGGTTATGGAAGAGCTGTAGACACTAGTTAACATATGAACCATGCTATTAACGTTGATGAAGAAAGAGACGAGTAGATGTGACGTGACATGGACGTGAAACATGAACACAGAGTTCCAAATGACTCATGAAATTAAAAGGGTTCTTGACCCTACACATATTCGTTTTTGTTTGTCGTTTAATGCTGCACTCAGCAATATTCCAGCTATATGACGGCAGTCTGTAAATAATCGCGTCTTGACCAGACAATCCAGTGATTGACGCCATGAGCATCAATCCAAGCAATTGGGATACGATGACATGCATCACCCAAGTCAGCGAGCCTGACCACCCAATCCTGTCAGCTGCCTTTTACGACAAGCATAGTCGCTTTTTACACCAAGCATGGGTTGCTGAAGACCTATTCTAACCCGGATCTTAACGGGTCCCTTTATCCTACAGTGTACATTTGTTCAATAATAGTAGGCAGTGAATTTGTACGCCAAAATTAGCAATTTTACAGCTTATTATGATAGCCTTTAAAACAATCAGGATAGCAGATGGTATACCAGTGATTGACAATGCAAGCATCGCCTCAGGGGTCCGACCACAGAATAAGTCAGCCAGGTCAAAACCAAGCCAGGTCTTCTATGGTGGTCAATCATAAATATTCTCAGTCAAAAACAATTTTGTTTCAATTTCACAAACCTAACATTTCACAATCAACAAATAAAATTAACTTTTAAGAACAGTCCTTTTTTCACACAAGTTAACAAGTTTGGTTTAAAGTGAAATCTGATAATTTGATCAATAATGAGGGTAATTATTGTCATTCCAAAAAACACTTTCATTTCATTGTCTTATGTTCTCCTAGTAACGAAACCTTTAGAGATCAATTGAAAAAAATATGTCATGGCATTTTCTTATTTCGACCACTTAAAAAACATAGGTTAAAAGAAACGTCTTTAGAGCAGTTAGTTATAACAGAGAGGCCTAAAGGGAGTTGACATAAAAAGACAACATGACATGTTGTACCTAAAAATCATGGTGAAACCTTAATATCAACGTTGTTCACTCAGACATGTGTATTTAATTAATGGTAGCCAACTTACATATAGACAATATACAAATTAATCTTCGTCAAATTGAAAAAGAAAAATATCTTTCTAACTATTTGGCCAAAAAAATTATCTTTCTAAATCAATTAACACTAATTAAACTACTCCTACTACATATGAACAACAACCAGGGCCTATTAACAGAAACCACCATACGATCCACTACAAGTACTTCCTTAGGACTTTGAATCTACTCTTACAAAATAATACAAGTAGCTCAAGCAAAATACTTAGAACTGAGAATCTGAAAAAAATAATTCTGCCAGCAAAATGACTATTTAAGAACTGAGTACCAAAACAACATCTTCTATGCCTGACATGGTCCTCCGAGTCCTTGCTGATGCAGGGGAGGTAACTGGGTTTGATGAAAATCATAACTGTGACAATAGATCTTTGATTGGGCTCTGCATCCTCCAAACTCTGATTCTTGTTCTAGCAGGTGGGGGACGGGCAGCGATGGGTAGGGATGGGTGGTGGATGGGTTGGTGGATGGGTGGTGGATGGGTGGTGGATGGGTGGTGGATGGGTGGTGGATGGGTGGGGATGGGTGGTGGATGGGTGGGGATGGGTGGGCGTGGGTGGGCTCGGGTGATTTGATGAGAGGTGGATGGTGGTGGCAGGGATGGAAAAGGATAGGTTATGGATTGGTGTCGGATGGTGGATGGGTGGGAATGGGTGTGGCATGGTGAATTGGTGTCGGATGGTGGATGGGTGGGAATGGGTGTGGCATGGTGAATTGGTGGGGATGGGTGTGGCATGGTGGATTGGTGGGGATGGTTGTGGCATGGTGAATTGGTGGGGATGGTTGTGGCATGGTGAATTGGTGGGGATGGTTGTGGCATGGTGAATTGGTGGGGATGGGTGTGGCATGGTGAATTGGTGTCGGATGGTGGATGGGTGGGAATGGGTGTGGCATGGTGGATGGGTGGGGATGGGTGTGGCATGGTGGATGGGTGGGGATGGTTGTGGCATGGTGAATTGGTGGGGATGGTTGTGGCATGGTGAATTGGTGGGGATGGTTGTGGCATGGTGAATTGGTGGGGATGGTTGTGGCATGGTGAATTGGTGGGGATGGTTGTGGCATGGTGAATTGGTGGGGATGGTTGTGGCATGGTGAATTGGTGGGGATGGTTGTGGCATGGTGAATTGGTGGGGATGGGTGTGGCATGGTGAATTGGTGTCGGATGGTGGATGGGTGGGAATGGGTGTGGCATGGTGGATGGGTGGGGATGGGTGTGGCATGGTGGATGGGTGGGGATGGTTGTGGCATGGTGAATTGGTGGGGATGGGTGTGGCATGGTGAATTGGTGTCGGATGGTGGATGGGTGGGAATGGGTGTGGCATGGTGGATGGGTGGGGATGGGTGTGGCATGGTGGATGGGTGGGGATGGTTGTGGCATGGTGAATTGGTGGGGATGGTTGTGGCATGGTGAATTGGTGGGGATGGTTGTGGCATGGTGAATTGGTGGGGATGGTTGTGGCATGGTGAATTGGTGGGGATGGTTGTGGCATGGTGAATTGGTGGGGATGGTTGTGGCATGGTGAATTGGTGGGGATGGTTGTGGCATGGTGAATTGGTGGGGATGGTTGTGGCATGGTGAATTGGTGGGGATGGGTGTGGCATGGTGAATTGGTGGGGATGGGTGTGGCATGGTGGACGGGTGGGGATGGGTGTGGCATGGTGGATTGGTGTCGGATGGTGGATGGGTGGGAATGGGTGTGGCATGGTGGATGGGTGGGGATGGGTGTGGCATGGTGGATGGGTGGGGATGGGTGTGGCATGGTGGACGGGTGTGGATGGGTGGGGATGCGTGGAGATGGGTGATGGATGAGAGTTGGTGGTGGCATGGATGGACAAGGATAGGTGGTGGATGGAAGGGGGATGAGGTTGAGGGTTGGGAGGTTGGGGTTAAAGGTTCATCCAGCACTGATTAACCTGTCAGCAATATTCCAGCTAAATCATGGTGGCTTGTAAATCATTGAACATAGACCAGAAAAACCAGTGACCGAAAGCATGACCAACAATCCACACATATTGAATGACAGTGGCACCGAAGGCGTGTATCGTACGACAAAAACAGTCCCAAGTTAGTGTTTTCTGAAGAGTTTTAGAAAATTTCCAAAGACATTGTTATTGATCACCCAGATAACAGAAAACTGCCAATCATGAAACAAATTAATGCTGATCCCCGGACTTTATTATGAGCTGTTTACATCATTGTTTCAATCCATGAACAGCGAACCTGACGTGACAATATACTACGACATGTCCAGATGAAAATGTGTCACCTTAATTAAGACGAGCAAAGGACCTTTGCATTTTTTGCATAAATTTCATGCTGGCTCTAGTTTCATGATTGTCAGTATGCATTCTCATCTACAGGCCAGGGCCTACTTGCACAAAGCGGTCTTAGCGCTAAGATGATCTTAACTCCAATACTTTAACATAGGCTTACGATAGTCTTAGTGCTAAGATCGTTTTGTGCAAGTGGGCCCAGGACAGAACTAGATCGGATTGTTCTTTTCATGTTTTGGTTAACTGATAGGAATTCAGTGATGAATACGAACATCATACATGATCTGTTAATTGAATTGATTGAATTGATTGAATTGATTGGGACATTTCAGTCATCAATAATACAGGACAGATCAGTAGAGAGAGGGTGTGTCTGGTTTAGCACGGCTTCACTTCAGTTTATCACTGTGGTGGGTATCATGTGGACAAACCAAGGTTCATAATCAGGGAGAATGTGGGATTCGAACCCACGATCATAGGATCCTGGGACACATAAGGGATGCAACTCTTCCCGTGTTGTAGAAGAAGCTGAGACACAATGAGGAAACTTGGATCACGAATGATTTGGTTTGTGCCTGACTATCATTGGTGTCAATCTTGAGAAGGATGTTGCTGTGGTAGGGAGAGTGGTCTCCCTTGACAGTGTCACAATCACTACCATCCAAATTAAATAGAAAACTGTTGGATTTCCTCTATAACATTGAGTGTGGGCGTGAGTATTGTTTCATGATGCTTTTAGCAATATTCCAGCAATATCACAGCAGGGACACCAGAAATGGGTTTCATACATTGTACCCATGTGGGGAATCGAACCCGGGTCTTCAGAGTGACAAGCGAATGCTTTAACCACTAGGCTACCCCACTGCCCCATAACATTGAGTTAGTGTGCTTTTACATTACTTTCCAGCAATAACATAGTGGGAGACACTTCAAACAATGTACCCATGTGGGGAATTGAACCCGGGCCTTGGTGTGAAAGCGAACACTTAAACCACTAGGCTAGCCAACTTCCCCCATCTATAACAGACGTAATCTATAACAACACGACATATGGTTAGAACGTGAATATGTCAGTCAGAGCATGATGAGACAGACATATGGAGGACGAGGCATCAAGACCTTCTCGAGATAAACAAGGACGCAGACGGATAGAAAAAAAACACTAGATGATAATATACGATTCCTCTACAACCTCTAGAGGATGAACTCAATCCTACTACCAGGTGGGAAGAACGAATCACTCCATGCAAGATGGACGAGCGAGTGAACGGGCGGCTTGCAAAAAACAGCTTTGGAAATTCACCTGCCAAGTACTCTGTGTCTACAACGTCTGCGATATGTCCATTTGCATATGGAATACCTTGCATTTTCCGCCGATGGAACCGCGGAGAGCCCAGGAAGCTGTTCTTTATCGTATGTAACCTTGATTTCCAGGGCGTGGTCTGGATCCCGGGGGAGCTGGGGGGCGTGGCCGAAGGGCTGTGGGTGGGCGTGGTGCCTCGGTGGGGCAGCTTCGGGCTGGACAGGGGAGAGTTGTTAGGGCTACCGCTCAGATTGGCCTTTCTTCTGAAACAAATGACATCATAGACACACTGTGCCACAGGAGTCCATCCTCAACGATCCAGGGTGTTATATATATATCTCCATTGTATTATGTCAAAAACCCTGGAACCAATCGCTACCATAGCTTTTTGAACCATCTGAAAATAGCTGTCAGATTGTAGTATACTCACCAGGGAGCTGAGAATGAAAATTGAAGGCACACTGATCCATTGGACAGTGTGATAATGTTAGCGCTTTGAGCATGCTAGTGGATGCTCTAAAAAAATCCACATTAATATTATATCATTATTTCACCCATGAGTTAGAAAAATCTTGTGCTAAGTTAGTAATAAGACAGATGAGTGAGTGAGTTGGGTTTTACGCCACTTTTAACAGTATTCCAGTTATATCGCGGCGAGTCAGCTTAATGTGGGTGGAAAGCCTGAAGTGATGCAGGTCTCAGAAGTTTACCACTTCGGTGAAACCCACGAGCACGGGTATGGTGCTGACAAACCTAGAAACATAATCAGGGCGAACCGGGATTCGAACCCACAATCATAGGTTTCTGGCGTGCCCAAGGGACGCAACTCTGCACAGCGAATCGCGGCGCCTTAGATGACTGGGCCACCCGTGCCCCCATACGACAGATGAGAAGGCGACATAATTTTTGGAATGAAGATATGGTGGCGAATTGGTCAAGGGTATTTATTACTTAGAATGAGTTAATAAAATACTGGATAACTGAGGATGTTTTTGTCAGCTTCTTTTGGATAATTTAAAACCTTCAAACAACTTGTTAAAGGATTAACCAAGATACTATTTCTAAGAAATGACCATCAATACTTTTAAAGTAAAAGAACAGTTTAACAGCAGGTAAGGTGAAATGAGGTTTAACGTCAACTCCAAGATTATTGCACTTATATAGTGACGTGCATGTACGTGTGTGTGTGTGTGTGTGGCTGCTTGTGCTAGTCCGGACTGATGCCGATTTATAGTGCGAGCTCACCGAAATACCATGCCGCAGTTTAACATGAATACCCCACTCAGACACAGTATACTGACTCCGAGCCGACCAGTCCTTGTTTTTATCCCCTTAATGACGAGCGCCAGACAGGGTAACAACAAGTACCATCTTTTAACGTCTTTTGGTATGACGCGGCCAGGGATCGAACCCTGGACCTTCTGCTCTCCGGGCGGATATCTACCACAGAGGCGGTCAGTTTAACAGTAAGTGGATGGTTAGATTTCATATTAGTGTGGGTATTTTCACAGTAAAAGGAATAAATGTAATTGTTGACTCTTAATACAAAATTATATTTTGCATCCAATATTTAGGGACAGTCCATTTGATATTCTTGGGAATGAGGGATGGGATTTGGTAAAGAAATTGAACATTTCAGCAAAAGCTGCAAAACCAGATATTTAATTAATTAGAACTATAGGCCGAAATAAAAACAAAATCATCATCCAACAATATATTTTTTGTAAGCAGACAATATGTTTGGTTTGTTTTTTTGAGTCCGAAGCATAATTATTTTTTTCAAGCATTTTCTGGGACCATTTCTTTTTTTTCAGTAAAATCTCAGGCGCCAGAAATTCAAATGGCAGGTCACTTAGTTACAAGTCAGGTTGACAAGACACGATGTCATCAAAACAAAATGGATTCACGATAAATGAAACATAAAAAATCAGTGACACATTCATAAGAGTGCTGATAACAAAGAGCAAGACTGACTCTGAAATGAAATAAGTATACAGTAAGAAGTTAACCAAATATGTACAGCAAGGCCATAATACGTCATCACGCTTCCATCCCCACCGACCTACCAACACCCGCCATGACAGTCTCCCCGAGTGTCTACAGCAGAAACTCACTACAAATGTTTTCTTCCTAATATACTACATTAAACACCACCCGATATGTGTCATCGTACAAACATTCCCTTCTAACTTAATATCAAGTATGTTAAAACTTAATGCCCATAGACGCTGTGAACATTTATGGGAAAGAAAATCTAATAATTATTTTCTTGTGGCCTAACCCAATGAAGTAGATCATAATGACACATCGTGACTGACGCAGCTGAAATAGACCGAAGCATCAACTCAATACATCCATGTTCAACATCTCAACATGCATCTGGGACTGCGTGTTAAAGGGCAACCCCTTTTTCCAATATACTCCGAATGGCACGGATCTCTATCTTTCAATAATAAATAATTAATTGGAGTAGGTGCTGCAATACTATTTGCCCCACATTATGCCAACAGGTGCCAAAAAAAGACATTGTTCCAGTCACATGAAACAACACACATAAACAACACATATAAACAATATTGACAAAAATAAAGAACCAAGGGATAGTAAACGAATGTGATCAGAGTTGTCTCCCATGGTAACTCACACTTGCTGCACCGCGAGGGCTCTCCGTGAGGCAACAGGCGACCCTTCACTTATATTGCCCAGTGAAAGTCTGGCAGGGTCCAATACAAGTGTCAATACAAGTGTCAATACAAGTGTCAGTACAAGCGTCAGTACAAGAAAAACAATGACATTTCAAAACAGCCCTTTGAGTGGATTTAGTATAAAAGGCTATCATGTACAAGTGGTCATTCTTCACAATTTGCCTCACAATAATCAGGCCTCCATGCCCAGTGATCTGTAATGAGTGAGTGAGTGAGTGAGTATGGTTTTATGCCGCTTTTAGCAATATTCCAGGAATATCACGGCAGGGGACACACCAGAATTGAGATTCACACATTGTACCCATGTCGGGAATCGAACCCTTCGGCGTAACAAGCGAATGCTTTAACCACTAGGATACCCCACCGCCCCCGTTGTTTACGACACATGATGGAAAACACATGGCAGATGCTGTGATAGTTCTAGCTCTAAGAGAGTATAGCAGTGGTGACCACATCCCGGGGCGGTCGGGTAGCCTAGTGGTTAAAGCGTTGGCTCGTCACGCCGAAGACCCGGGTTCGATTCCCGACATGGGTACAATGTGTGAAGCCCATTTCTGGTGTCCCCCGCCGTGATATTGCTGGAATATTGCTAAAAGCGGCGTAAAACCTCACTCACTCACTGACCACATCCCCTCATCTCGTTTACCATCAGCTTCTACATGTCGCTACCGGAGGCTGTGGATAGACCTGATAGAAAAGTCTGCCAAAGAAGGCTGAAGGAATTACATCCCCAATTGTCTACAAATCACAAAATATTTCAAGAATCTATACAGCAATTTCTTCCATAATCATTACCTCCAAATACGCAAAATGAACTTTGAACAAGGATTCTGAAGAAATAACTAACACAAGCTCTTCTAAGGGTTCTATCTTGTTATCCAAAACCTGTACTGGTGTTTCTTTTCAATCTGAATTCCCTTTTCAGTGCTCACTTTTGATGAAATATCCTATATGTATTTGGAGGAAAGTCATTAAGGAAGAGCTTGGTATATGGGATTAAAATATTTTTTAATTTGTAGCCAATTGACTTTTCTGACTAGGAGATCCTTGACATGCAGACAGAGAAGCTGTCATCGATGAGTGGATCAGGGCTGCCAGCAACCACAGCTACATGATGGCTCCACTAAGACCATCGAGAGCAACAGGGAAAAAGTAATGGTGTCATTAGTTTCACCAGTGTCAGACATCAGCTGTGACAGCCTTACATTCTTTCAGCCCTTGGAGAACTCTGCCAAGCAATCAGAATAATTTCAAAATTTCTTACCTATTCTATCGATCACTGATCACATCAGTCCTGACTGAGGCATTGAAATCTAGGCAGTATCATTACTGGGACATTTATAATTTTACTCAGTACTCACTTTACAATCCACTCAAAGAACCATTTTCAACTTCAAACATTATTAGAGTATCAGTAGGTCTATCAGAACTCTCAATTCTCTCAATTTTTCAAATGTGGACATATGTAAAAAATTTACAAAATGTATAAAAAATTTCATTATTAATAGTGACGAACTGCCATTCTGAAAGAGCGTTTGTGTGATATACACAACTAAACTACGATGATGACACTAAGAATGATTTTGTTACATGATACCATGTTACGCAGACATCCAGATTGCTTACAGAGGATTCAAAAGATACCCTGACAAGAAGTTGTGTGAATCTCCACAGATAAACACTCTCAAAAAGGCTGGTCCTAATTCAGGATCATTTCTTGACATGCTATGTACGAAGTTAGTTGTTAGTGTTGAACTGCAAACATTGTTGATGAGTAGGAAAAGAATTGTGACATCGTACCTGGCTTGTCCGTTAAACTGGACTGCATCCACTCGTTTCCTGGGGGGGTCGGCTGAAAGGTAGAACAAGATTTGTTCAACAGTCTGGCCATCACACCAATGCCAGTAGCACCATCAGACCAATGCCAGTAGCACCATCAGACCAAGCCAGTAGTGCGATCATACCAATGTCAGTAGCACCATCACACCAATGCCAGTAGCACCATCACACCAAGCCAGTAGTGCGATCATACCAATGCCAGTAGCACCATCACACCAATACCAGTAGCACCATCACACCAATACCAGTAGCACCATCACACCAAGCCAGTAGTGCGATCATACCAATGCCAGTAGCACCATCACGCCAATGCAAGTAGCAGCATCAGACCAATGCCAGTAGCACCATCTGACCAATGCCAGTAGCACCATCACACCAATGCCAGTAGCACCATCACGCCAATGCCAGTAGCACCATCAGACCAATGCTAGTAGCACCATCAGACCAATGCCAGTAGCACCATCACACCAAGCCAGTAGTGCGATCATACCAATGCCAGTAGCACCATCACGCCAATGCAAGTAGCAGCATCAGACCAATGCCAGTAGCACCATCTGACCAATGCCAGTAGCACCATCACACCAATGCCAGTAGCACCATCACGCCAATGCCAGTAGCACCATCAGACCAATGCCAGTAGCACCATCACACCAATGCCAGTAGCACCATCAGACCAATGCCAGTAGCACCATCACACCAATGCCAGTAGCACCATCAGGCCAATGCCAGTAGCACCATCACACCAATGCCAGTAGCACCATCACACCAATGCCAGTAGCACCATCAGACCAATGCCAGTAGCACCATCACACCAATGCCAGTAGCACCATCACACCAATGCCAGTAGCACCATCACACCAATGCCAGTAGCACCACCAGACCCCTGTCAGATGCAGATTAATGACCTGTCTACCCTGGTCCACTACAGATCTACCCTGGTCTACTACAGATCAGCTACCCCATTTACCCCTGATTACTGCAGATCAGCTACCCTATCTACCCCTATCTACTACAGATCAGCAACCCTATCTACCCCTGTCTACTACAGATCAGCTACCCTATCTACCCCTGTCTACTACAGATCAGCTACCCTATCTACCCCTGTCTACTACAGATCAGCTACCCCATCTACCCCTGTCTACTACAGATCTTCCCTTGTCTATTACAGATCAGCTACCCCATCTACCCTAGTCTACTACAGATCAGCCACCCTGGTCTACCATGCAGACCTCCGTCTGTGTCCGAGTTGACTCACCTGATTCCGACCTACTCCTAATCTCCACATCGTCTTCTACACTAGGATTCCTGAGTTTTCGGTCCAGCAGCAAGAAATATACCACCTTCTCTGTGTTATGTCTGAAACAGTAATGGGGAATATAACACCTTCTCTGTGTTATGTCTGAAACAGTAATTGGGTATATAGCACCTTCTCCGTGTTATGTCTGAAACAGTTATGGGGTATATAGCACATTCTCTGTGTTATGTCTGAAACAGTAATGGGTTCATAGGTTTCAAGCATGCCAAAGGGATGCAACTCTTCACAGTTAATCATGGCCCCTTACAAAACAAAAAGTGTCGCAAAAGTTAAAGGTTTATCGTTCCTCGCCATGATCTTTACATATAACAACATAATACACAGATCAAACTATCTGCCAGTAGTCTTGCGGTCCGACTTAGTCGCGTGTTGTTGCCTTTCACTTCCTGGAGGAAGTTAGGTGGTCCGGCTTATGTACCGGACGTGCCAATTGGAAATAGATTTCAAGGTCAAGTTAATATCTGGGCTTTAGTATGACATCGGCTTACTTACGGTCATATACTGTAAACAGTTGAGACAGCAGCACTTACTTTATACTCATGAGTTCTTCTACAAGTTTGTCTTTATCTTTAAAACATTGTAGAGAGTTCATTGTTGAAAGCACATCGGGGTCAAGGTCTTCTACTGTGGGTATAACGGAGGTCTGAAACACAGCAGAGGTCTCTGTTGAATCGCACGTCCCTCACCCGCGTCACAAACTTACAACACATGTCTTGTCATGATGACTGAAGTATTATGGAGTATTGAGCATGTTTTTATTTCTTTTTTGCTTAACGCACACTCAGCAATATTCCAGCTATATGACGGGGCCTTAACTAACTAATCTGGACCAGACAATCCAGTGATTGTTATTGTGAGCAACGATCAACACTGTCGGGAACGATGACACGCATTCAACCAAGTCACTGAGCTTGACCACCAATTCATTAAGTCGCCTCTTATGACCAGCATAGGTTTCTGGGGACAATGCCTACCTGGAATCTCCACGGGGGAGAAGGACTGCCATTGTTTATACAACTTGGTGAAGGCACAAATCAGGAAGACAATCATACATTCACTCCTTGACTCACGCGAACAGGTGGCGATTGTGAAACACCTGGCTTTCTCCCAATAGGAGTGAGTGGACTGGCTTAACACCGCTTTGAACAGTATTTCAGTTATACCACGGCGTGTCAGCTCAATGTTGGAGAAACCCCGAAGTGATGCAGGGCTTGGAGATTTACCAATTTGGCGAAACCCAGGAGCACGGGTATGTTGCTGACAAACCTTGAAACATAATGGAGACAAACTGGGATTTGAAACAGGTGCCCAAGGGAGGCAACTCTGCACAGGCAGAGTTGGTTGCCTCAGATAACTGGGCCACCCATGTTCCCTCCACCGATAGGATTCAATGGTGAAATGATTAAATGTGCCAATCCTGAAATGAACATGACACACATGCAAGCACAGTGCATGCAAGAAGTGGTTTCCATGGTGACGGCCATGATGCACGTAAGTGTCAGATGATGTATAGTGTTTATGTTGACAGGATTGATCTCATTCGCCATGTACATGCCAGTGGCCATACAAATCAAAAGAGGTCATGGTGACCTTAAAAGCTAAGTATATAACATACATTTTTCTATCTATGGAACTAAGGCGTTTCTTTGAAAAACTTTGTTCATGGATCAGCCAACCCTAATTTCACAATTGTGGAAAGGATCAAAATTTTGAGAACCATCCTTTTTCTTCCTGACAAGTCTGTTAATCAATTTCAGCAATGACAAAAAATCCAATGGTCAACAAGAAAAGGGGAAGTAGCTCTTTGACTTCATATTTCAAAAAAAAAATAATTCTTTTGTTTAATATTTTTACAATTTTATTTCACATGACAGAAAATACTACTAAGAGATCAATAAATTTAAAAAATCACCTTAAAGAAAAAAAATAAATTTTTATTTATTATTTAGACCACTCGTTTTGAGGTAGAAAAATCCATAAACAAAATAATTAAATAACGCCTAAGAATACAACCATATTGGTAGTATTGTGATGAGAATTGTTTGAGTACTGGAATGGAGAAAGGTGGCATGGTTAGAGAGTTGCCGGGAAGATAGTACAGGTATACCTCGTACAGGCATGACTCACTGGGAGGCAGCGGGAGGTGAGTGGGACGTAATGCAAAGATGAAATGAGAGACACATGCCTTATGTGTGGATACATACCAGAGGTGTCGCGATACGCCTGTCTTACGTATAGTGAATACTAGAGGTGTCGCGATACGCCCGTCTTACGTATAGTGAATACTAGAGGTGTCGTACAATGCCTGTCTTACGTATAGTGAATACTAGAGGTGTCGTACAATGCCTGTCTTACGTATAGTGAATACTAGAGGTGTCTCGATATGCCTGTCTTACGTATAGTGTATACTAGAGGTGTCGCGATATGCCTGTCTTACGTATAGTGAATACTAGAGATGTCGCGATATGCCTGTCTTACGTATAGTGCATACTAGAGGTGTCGCATCCTGTCTTACGTATAGTGAATACTAGAGGTGTCGCGATACGCATGTCTTATGTATAGTGAATACTAGAGGTGTTGCACTACGCCTGTCTTACGTATAGTGAATACTAGAGGTGTCGTACAATGCCTGTCTTACCTATAGTGAATACTAGAGGTGTCGCAATACGCCTGTCTTACGTATAGTGAATACTAGAGGTGTCGCGATATGCCTGTCTTAGGTATAGTGCATACTAGAGGTGTCGCACTATGCCTGTCTTACGTATAGTGAATACTAGAGGTGTCGCGATACGCCTGTCTTACGTATAGTGAATACTAGAGGTGTCGTACAATGCCTGTCTTACGTATAGTGAATACTAGAGGTGTCACGATACGCCTGTCTTATGTATAGTGAATACTGGAGGTGTCACGATACGCCTGTCTAACGTATAGTGAATACTAGAGGTGTCGCGATACGCCTGTCTTACGTATAGTCAATACTAGAGGGTCGCACTACGCCTGTCTTACGAATAGTGAATACTAGAGGTGTCGTACAACGCCTGTCTTACGTATAGTGAATACTAGAGGTGTCGCGATACGCCTGTCTTACGTATAGTGCATACTAGAGGTGTCGCGATATGCCTGTCTTACGTATAGTGAATACTAGAGGTGTCGTACAATGCCTGTCTTACGTATAGTGCATACTAGAGGTGTCGTACAATGCCTGTCTTACGTATAGTGAATACTAGAGGTGTCGCGATACGCCTGTCTTACGTATAGTGAATACTAGAGGTGTCGTACAATGCCTGTCTTACGTATAGTGAATACTAGAGGTGTCACGATACGCCTGTCTTATGTATAGTGAATACTGGAGGTGTCACGATACGCCTGTCTAACGTATAGTGAATACTAGAGGTGTCGCGATACGCCTGTCTTACGTATAGTCAATACTAGAGGGTCGCACTACGCCTGTCTTACGAATAGTGAATACTAGAGGTGTCGTACAACGCCTGTCTTACGTATAGTGAATACTAGAGGTGTCGCGATACGCCTGTCTTACGTATAGTGCATACTAGAGGTGTCGCGATATGCCTGTCTTACGTATAGTGAATACTAGAGGTGTCGTACAATGCCTGTCTTACGTATAGTGCATACTAGAGGTGTCGTACAATGCCTGTCTTACGTATAGTGAATACTAGAGGTGTCGCGATATGCCTGTCTTACGTATAGTGCATACTAGAGGTGTCGCGATATGCCTGTCTTACGTATAGTGAATACTAGAGATGTCGCGATATGCCTGTCTTACGTATAGTGCATACTAGAGGTGTCTCATCCTGTCTTACGTATAGTGAATACTAGAGGTGTCGCGATACGCATGTCTTATGTATAGTGAATACTAGAGGTGTCGCGATACGCCTGTCTGACGTATAGTGAATACTAGAGGTGTCGTACAATGCCTGTCTTACGTATAGTGAATACTAGAGGTGTCGCGATACGCCTGTCTTATGTATAGTGAATACTAGAGGTGTCGCGATACGCCTGTCTTATGTATAGTGAATACTAGAGGTGTAGCACAACGAATACCTTATGTATTGATACACAGTAGAGGTGTCGCAAAATGTCTACATCATGTATCAATACATATTAGAGGTGTCACAAAATGTATACCTTATGTATCGATACAGATCAGTAAGCTTGAGACACAATGCGATATACATGCTCAATATGTGGCTGTTTCAGGCCCAGCTGAGAGGCTCTTGCTGAACCAGGTCATCCTTAATCTCATAGTGTTATGCAGTGAGACTTAATATAGTTTCATGATAGGTATTAAAGAAACACTAGCTCTTGTAGTCATCAAGCCAAGATATTGCAATTATTACTTTTTGAAAGTTGATACAGAATTTGTGCTTCCATTTGATGCATTCGTAGGTGTGTCATGCATCGATCATCAAGAGCAAGTTGAGATGCATCAATGAATATGTGGAAGATGCACTATGCAAGTGCAGTTATTATTATTTCAAGTAGGCAGGATTATGGACAGAAGGGTGAACACATTGTGTTATTTTACAGATATCCTTGACTCTCCCTCACAACACAGTCCTACCACCCTGCTCCTAAAACTGACTGATTTCAGACAGTTTAGCGGTTTAATTTTCTTAATTGTTCAAAAGGTCTGATTGGAGACAGTTTAGCTCTGTTCAATTTTCTTAATTGTTCCAAAGGTCTGATTGGAGACAGTTTAGCTCTGTTTAATTTTTTCATTATTCAAAAGGTCTGATTTGAGACAATTTAGCTCTGATTAAGTTTCTTAATTGTTCAAAAGGTCTGATTGGAGACAGTTTAAATCTGTTTAATTTTCTTAATTGTTCAAAAGGTCTGATTGGAGACAGTTTAGCTCTGATTAATTTTCTTAATTATTCAAAAGGTCTGATTTGAGACAATTTAGCTCTGTTCAACTTTCTTAATGGTTTAAATTGTCTGATTTGTCATCAATCTTTCTCATAAATGAATGGAAACTTCACACCTTGAAAACAAAATCTCTTGAGGACAAAAAACTACTTTGGGAAAAATCAAATAGGCAACCCCCTTATAGTTTGATTATACTCATAATAATTGCTGACATCAACAGTCTATAGTTGTGGCCAGTGATCAAACACAGCCATTTAGCAAAAGTTGCTGTCAGGATTGGTATTGAAACATTTCTTGCATAAATAGTGCATGAGGACTTCAAAATCACACAGTTAAGTCACATCAACAAAAACTTTCAGCTCAATCCTCAAGCCATTTCGGAGAAGTTGAAAGTGTAAAATGTTTATGGAAGTCATGGATTCTGATGGTCCAGAGACGGACGATGGACGAGTTGTGAAAACATAAACCTTTTAAACCAGGTGAGCTAAAAATAGACTGACGTCTCATCGCCCGTAAGTTTCAAGTTGATATGTTATAGAAGGGTTTGTATGAGATTAAAATCTGGTGTTTGTCTCGAGAGTCAAGGACATCTGTTCTGACAGGACAGGCAGCTGACGGACACACAGACAGACATGCAGACAGAGAGACAGACATGCAGTCCCAGACAGACATGCAGACATGTAGACAGACATGCAGATGAAGAAACAGATGGCCAGACATGCAGACAGGCAGACAGACAGACAGACGGAGCTGGTGTGAAGTACGAGTCGTCGCATCACCTGGACTACTTGTGTGACAGGTAATTCTAACTCTATATGCCCCATTGTCTCCCTAGAAAAAGGAAACAAAGTACAACATGAGACATACAACCAAAGTACAACCACCACTGGATAATACAACACCATCAGGTCTTCCCAGCAGCGAGATCACACGCCTTGTAACTGTGCAAATATACAGACTACCGCCTCTGTCCAACTGTCGTCTTTCAAGCCAGAATTCCTAATAATACTACCAACGTACTAACATTCTATTGGCTAGTCTTCATACCATACAGTATGATTAAAACCATAACGTCCCAAATTTTATTGAACCTTTTTTAAAACTAAAATTCACTGTTATGAATGAAAAGACCCCCAAAAGCTTTGAATTTGGTATCAATGTATGTTTAAAAACTGGAAATACTGGGATAAATACTGAATATTCTTTTCGAGCAAATTTCATCTGTAGAATTCTCTTTCTAAAATTTGTCATGAAATCCATTTAAAGTTCATAGCATATAAATTTCTCCACTCATTTTATGAAGCCACATAAGGCAGGATTTTTAACTAAAACAAATCCCAAATTTGCACGGTTACAAGGATGGACAGTACCAACGTGGACAATTGTGACATCTACCCATAACACCCACAGCTGCAAGGACACACAGACAGGGAGAGCATGGCTCCCTCTGGTGGCAAATACCTGAACTACTTGAGTCATGGGTAATTCTACCTCAACTTCCTGTTTTGTTCCGCTAAAACAAGAATATTTGTCAAGTTATTCCCCAAAAAGAAAAACATGTGTCAAATTATTCCCCTAAAAGAAAAACATGTGTCAAGTTATTCCCCTAAAAGAAAAACATGTGTCAAGTTATACCCCTAAAAGAAAAGCATGTGTCAAGTTATTCCCCCAAACAAGAATGTGTCACGTTATTCCCCCCCACACAAGTGCGTGTGTCAAGTTATTCCCCCAAACAAGAACGTTTCACGTTATTCCCCCCAAACAAGAGCGTGTTATGTTATTCCCCCCCAAACAAGAGCGTGTATCAAGTTATTCCCCCAAACAAGAACGTGTCAAGTTATTCCTCCAAACAAGAACGGGTCACGTTATTCCCCCCCAAACAAGAACGTGTCACGTTATTCCCCCCCCAAACAAGAATGTGTCACGTTATTTCCCCCAAACAAGAGCGTGTATCAAGTTATTCCCCCCCAAACAAGCGCGTGTCACGTTATTCCCCCCCCAAACAAGAGCGTGTTAAGTTATTCCCCCCCCAAACAAGAGCGTGTCAAGTTATTATTCCCCAAAACAAGAACGTGTCAAGTTATTCCACCCCAAACAAGAGCGTGTGTCAATTTATCTTCAAGTTCCGACTAATCTCTAAAAATGTCAAGCCAGCTTGAAGCATTGCTAATTTCTTGGAGCCATAAACATTGATTTTGTTTTTCTTGAGACTTGATTTAAATTTATCCCCAAATGATGACTCTACATTTTGCATTCATCCCCAAAAGGAGCATTGATTGGAATCTAAGCACAAAGTTTAAATTTCTAAATGGAAATCAGTATTTGTTCATCCATAACTATTACTTTTTCACATAATCTGATGTCAAAACATGTAAGAAATGTATCACTACTTCTACTTTGGAACACTGGAAATGGCCTTGGTATATATTGCTGTTGATGCAAAATATTGATCTGAGATTCAAGCATTGCTTTAAGAATTCATTAGTGCTTTTTCAGCCAAAGGAATATTGTCGGCGAAATATGCTATCAACTGGAGTAAAACTTGTTATAAATATGCCATTACTCACAAGATCAAAGTATGGAAGATATCTGGAGCCTCAAGTACAAAATACAAATTAATATCCCAAATAACTTTCATGTATTACACATTAACTTTGCCTAAATTTGTGTAAACACAAACATTTTTCTTGCAATACTGAGGAAGTGAATGTGGTGGTACGCCAGTCAGCAATATTCCAGCTATATCACAGCCATGTGTAAATGAGTGTGCCAGGCAAGCCAGTGGTTGATAGCATGAGCAACAATCCAGGCCATTGGGTCACATGATGAACACCTGATCCTCGTAAATTGGTACGTAGAATCTCCACAAGATTTTTCGTGGAACAGAATTTGCCATGGTGGGACAACATGAAAACTTTTGGTTTTTTTTGTTTGTTTGTTGTTTAATCATGTTTAATCACGGCGGACTGTAAATAATCGAGTCTGGACGAGACAATCTAGTGATTGACATCATGAGCATCGATCCACGCAATTGGGATATGATGTCATGCATCAACCAAGTCAGCGAGTCTGACCACCTGATCCTGTTATTTGCCTCTTACGACATGCATAGTCGCCTTTTATGGCAAGCATGGGTTGGTGAAGACCTATTCTACCCCACATCTTCACGGGTCAGTTTGTGATGGTGTGGAGTCTCGTTGCTGTGTACTCACGCAATTGCCCAGGGGTGTCGCATGACATCTTCAAGCTGTGAACAAACAGCACAACAATAAACACATTCTACAGCGTTAGAAATTGGCACTACTTCTGTAGTCCTTGCCATACTGAGCAATAGTTAAAGTATCATGAGGACTTGTAGAAATTTTGTCATTTTGAAGGGTTTTGCTATATGTTATTATTATAAGAACTAGTGGACTAAAAATGTTTAGTACAGCTGTTCTAGCACCTACAGTTTCTACAGCTGTTCTAGCACCTACAGTTTCTACAGCTGTTCTAGCTGTTCTAGCACCTACAGTTTCTACAGCTGTTCTAGCTCCTACAGTTTCTACAGCTGTTCTAGCTCCTACAGTTTCTACAGCTGTTCTAGCACCTACAGTTTCTACAGCTGTTCTAGCACCTACAGTTTCTACAGCTGTTCTAGCACCTACAGTTTCTACAGCTGTTCTAGCACCTACAGTTTCTACAGCTGTTCTAGCTGTTCTAGCACCTACAGTTTCTACAGCTGTTCTAGCACCTACAGTTTCTACAGCTGTTCTAGCACCTACAGTTTCTACAGCTGTTCTAGCACCTACAGTTTCTACAGCTGTTCTAGCACCTACAGTTTCTACAGCTGTTCTAGCACCTACAGTTTCTACAGCTGTTCTAGCTGTTCTAGCACCTACAGTTTCTACAGCTGTTCTAGCACCTACAGTTTCTACAGCTGTTCTAGCTGTTCTAGCACCTACAGTTTCTACAGCTGTTCTAGCACCTACAGTTTCTACAGCTGTTCTAGCTCCTACAGTTTCTACAGCTGTTCTAGCACCTACAGTTTCTACAGCTGTTCTAGCACCTACAGTTTCTACAGCTGTTCTAGCACCTACAGTTTCTACAGCTGTTCTAGCTGTTCTAGCACCTACAGTTTCTACAGCTGTTCTAGCACCTACAGTTTCTACAGCTGTTCTAGCACCTACAGTTTCTACAGCTGTTCTAGCTCCTACAGTTTCTACAGCTGTTCTAGCTGTTCTAGCACCTACAGTTTCTACAGCTGTTCTAGCACCTACAGTTTCTACAGCTGTTCTAGCTGTTCTAGCACCTACAGTTTCTACAGCTGTTCTAGCACCTACAGTTTCTACAGCTGTTCTAGCACCTACAGTTTCTACAGCTGTTCTAGCACCTACAGTTTCTACAGCTGTTCTAGCACCTACAGTTTCTACAGCTGTTCTAGCTGTTCTAGCACCTACAGTTTCTACAGCTGTTCTAGCACCTACAGTTTCTACAGCTGTTCTAGCTGTTCTAGCACCTACAGTTTCTACAGCTGTTCTAGCACCTACAGTTTCTACAGCTGTTCTAGCTCCTACAGTTTCTACAGCTGTTCTAGCACCTACAGTTTCTACAGCTGTTCTAGCACCTACAGTTTCTACAGCTGTTCTAGCACCTACAGTTTCTACAGCTGTTCTAGCTCCTACAGTTTCTACAGCTGTTCTAGCACCTACAGTTTCTACAGCTGTTCTAGCTGTTCTAGCTCCTACAGTTTCTACAGCTGTTCTAGCACCTACAGTTTCTACAGCTGTTCTAGCACCTACAGTTTCTACAGCTGTTCTAGCACCTACAGTTTCTACAGCTGTTCTAGCACCTACAGTTTCTACAGCTGTTCTAGCTGTTCTAGCTCCTACAGTTTCTACAGCTGTTCTAGCTCCTACAGTTTCTACAGCTGTTCTAGCACCTACAGTTTCTACAGCTGTTCTAGCACCTACAGTTTCTACAGCTGTTCTAGCACCTACAGTTTCTACAGCTGTTCTAGCTGTTCTAGCACCTACAGTTTCTACAGCTGTTCTAGCACCTACAGTTTCTACAGCTGTTCTAGCACCTACAGTTTCTACAGCTGTTCTAGCTGTTCTAGCACCTACAGTTTCTACAGCTGTTCTAGCACCTACAGTTTCTACAGCTGTTCTAGCACCTACAGTTTCTACAGCTGTTCTAGCACCTACAGTTTCTACAGCTGTTCTAGCACCTACAGTTTCTACAGCTGTTCTAGCACCTACAGTTTCTACAGCTGTTCTAGCTGTTCTAGCACCTACAGTTTCTACAGCTGTTCTAGCACCTACAGTTTCTACAGCTGTTCTAGCTGTTCTAGCACCTACAGTTTCTACAGCTGTTCTAGCTCCTACAGTTTCTACAGCTGTTCTAGCTCCTACAGTTTCTACAGCTGTTCTAGCACCTACAGTTTCTACAGCTGTTCTAGCACCTACAGTTTCTACAGCTGTTCTAGCACCTACAGTTTCTACAGCTGTTCTAGCTCCTACAGTTTCTACAGCTGTTCTAGCACCTACAGTTTCTACAGCTGTTCTAGCTGTTCTAGCTCCTACAGTTTCTACAGCTGTTCTAGCACCTACAGTTTCTACAGCTGTTCTAGCACCTACAGTTTCTACAGCTGTTCTAGCACCTACAGTTTCTACAGCTGTTCTAGCTGTTCTAGCTCCTACAGTTTCTACAGCTGTTCTAGCTCCTACAGTTTCTACAGCTGTTCTAGCACCTACAGTTTCTACAGCTGTTCTAGCACCTACAGTTTCTACAGCTGTTCTAGCACCTACAGTTTCTACAGCTGTTCTAGCTGTTCTAACACCTACAGTTTCTACAGCTGTTCTAGCTCCTACAGTTTCTACAGCTGTTCTAGCACCTACAGTTTCTACAGCTGTTCTAGCACCTACAGTTTCTACAGCTGTTCTAGCACCTACAGTTTCTACAGCTGTTCTAGCACCTACAGTTTCTACAGCTGTTCTAGCACCTACAGTTTCTACAGCTGTTCTAGCTGTTCTAGCACCTACAGTTTCTACAGCTGTTCTAGCACCTACAGTTTCTACAGCTGTTCTAGCACCTACAGTTTCTACAGCTGTTCTAGCTGTTCTAGCTGTTCTAGCACCTACAGTTTCTACAGCTGTTCTAGCTCCTACAGTTTCTACAGCTGTTCTAGCACCTACAGTTTCTACAGCTGTTCTAGCTGTTCTAGCACCTACAGTTTCTACAGCTGTTCTAGCACCTACAGTTTCTACAGCTGTTCTAGCACCTACAGTTTCTACAGCTGTTCTAGCTCCTACAGTTTCTACAGCTGTTCTAGCACCTACAGTTTCTACAGCTGTTCTAGCTGTTCTAGCACCTACAGTTTCTACAGCTGTTCTAGCTGTTCTAGCACCTACAGTTTCTACAGCTGTTCTAGCACCTACAGTTTCTACAGCTGTTCTAGAGCCTACAGTTTCTACAGCTGTTCTAGAGCCTACAGTTTCTACAGCTGTTCTAGCACCTACAGTTTCTACAGCTGTTCTAGCACCTACAGTTTCTACAGCTGTTCTAGCACCTACAGTTTCTACAGCTGTTCTAGCTGTTCTAGCACCTACAGTTTCTACAGCTGTTCTAGCTGTTCTAGCACCTACAGTTTCTACAGCTGTTCTAGCACCTACAGTTTCTACAGCTGTTCTAGCAACCTGTTCCGCATTATCTGGAATCTGTTCTACAACTAGAGAATCTCACCAGAGTGTTCTTTCATAGCAAATATATAAACATGAGACAATAAAAGTTAAAAACTCCGAGGCTTTTCAAGGAGATTTAAACATTTATTAATGAGCGTTGATATGTTTGATATCAAAAGACACAAGGGTAAGATTTTATTTATCATCCAAAATCACTCTTCCAACTTATTCAGTTTGTAAGCAGTAATAAGCAGTGTCTTGGGAGTAAATAGTAAAAGAGTACAGCTATCTAGCTTCACTGGATTAGTGATGTCATGGTAACCGATGATGTCACAATGGTCTGCAAAGCATTGTGATGCAATTTCACTGCAAAGATATCACCTAGGAAACAAAGTGAATAAATACACAATGACAAGAGTATCACATTCTGTTTCTAAAAGTTAAAGTATCTAAATATCCTTTCTAAAGTGGTCAAAAAAATAATTTGTACATTGTCTTAAAGATTTCTTTAATAAGTATATTTTCAGACGGAGCTACCATGTGATCTGAATTGGCAAAGGTAAACTAGTGGTTAATAGAGTGAGCACTGACTTTCCATGTCATTGGGTTTAACAATCAGGTCACAGTAAACATCTGTGCATTAAATGGCGCTATGGCAACCAATCTTTCACAGCATGTCATGAAATAGTGGAAGTCCTCACTTTTTACCACTTAGGAACAAAATACCTCACGCATGAGTATGGTGCCGAAAAATCATAATCTGGGGTTCAAACTCACATTCACAGTACCCTGGTACAACAAAGGGAGGCAACTCTTCAAAGAGAATTATGGCTCCTTAGACATCTGGGTCCAACTTGCCTCTTTTTTTAACCCTTACCACGGGTTTCGTGCTGACTAATCTTGAAACATAATCCAAAATTTGGGACCACGACCATAGCTTTCTGTCATGCTTGAGGGACACAACTCTGCATAGAAAATTGTGGTCTACTTACATGTAGGCGTTTCTCTGGGTCAACCTCTATCATGCCTCGCAGCAAGTTTTGACAATCAGGAGGTACAAAGTGTGGAATGTGAAACACGCCTTTTTTTACTTTTTCTAATAATTGACGGAGGTTGTCATCATCGAATGGCAGAGCACCCTGCAAATATAAAGTAAACAACTTGCCAACTGAACATCAGACAAAAAAGCAGATTGACCTTCTTGAAACATTTCCCCCACTCAAAAGATGTTTATCTGTCAAGATGCATTTTTAATGTTAATAGAAAGTAATGAATGTCAAATGATAGGCAACACTAACTGTGAGCTTTCATCAACACTTCAATTTGGGACAGACAAACACAAGTAGGAAACTTAGATTTTTATCATTGACATGTTGGATTGCAAAAATGGAAAAAAACATTTCTTTCAAAGTTACATTCCAGAGTATATATAAAACCATTTATTACATAAAATATGTATTTATATAAACATAAAAATAATTTATTAACTACAAAGCTAGTTGAGGAGGTTATGTGTCAAACTTTTACGATCAGAACTAGCAGAACATATAATATATCATACTATTATCTTGACAACTAGCTGAAGATGTTAAATGTTATACTATTATCCTCATATGAAGGACATATAATATATCATACTATTATCTTGACAACTAGCAGGAGATGATATATGTTATAACATAATAATAATCAGAAGAACGTATAATAAATCATACTTTTATCTTGACAACTAGCTGAAGATGTTACATAAAATAAATCATACTATTAGCTTGACAACTAGCTGAAGATGTTACATTTTACACGATTATCCTTATCAGAAGAAGAACATATAATATATCACACTATTATCTTCACAACTTTCTAGGAATATTATAAATAATACTAATATCCTCACCACTAGTAGAGCATATAATATCACTCCACAGCTCCACACGTCTGCTTTTCTACCATCATATTTTTCTCCCTGAAAACATAAAGTTCATTGATGAATCAATCATGACATATTAACAGGACACTAATACAACTCTATATGCATGCTAAATGCCTATAAAAAGAAACATTTACAAAGATTCTTTCTATGCCTTGCATACATTCAGCAATCCATTAAATGCCTACGCAAAATAATCAACTCTTTGGGCAGGTTTAAAAAAGCCTTATTCATAACTGAGTTTCAAATACAAAAACTTTTATTAACAGGAAACTTAATAGTTTCTATTTATTTTTTATTTAATTCTGTCTCACTGGCTAAAAAGGGTATAATAGAAACCAACCAACCAACATTTAAACACATAAATGGATGTGCCCCTGTTATTTGTATCAGTAATTACATGTTGTAAAACATGCACAAAAACAACCAAAACTTGACACACGTTAATTAATTCTGATGAAATTAAACAAATCTGCAGATACGAAAAAACATATCCAAAGCTAAGTGTAAGACATTTCAAAACAAAATTAGATAAAACGCCATCTACTTAAACTAACAACAGTCACTTAAACAAACAAAACATGGAAATTACTGCACTGAAAATACATGAGGTGCAGATCATGCAACATCAGAAACAACATCCTCAAACAGTTGAACAAACAACTTCAGTAGCAACAGGACCAGGGTTAGAAACAATAACAGTCACACAAAACAATGCCTCTGCAAACTGATTTAAACAGAAACACTTTTAAATCGATGAAGCTTTGAATATCAATTGAAAAATTATTCTTTCCGTAACATAAATACATATGAATATATTATTTATATACATATGATTCCACAAGAAAAAAGAAATTACTTGATTTAGATTGGTCAATGAGAGGTTTCAAATTACAATAACAACCTGTGAAACAGCTAATGCTATTCCTTCAGTTCTAAAATTCAGTTTGGCACTGTTAAATCTATAGGTAAATCAGATCAAAATGTTTTTCTCCAGAATAAACTTGACGTATTCTTTGATAGGTATTTACAAGTTAGGAGAATATGAATTCATGACACTTTTTTATGAATAGCAACTTCATTCATTCTTTGTAAGAACAGAACAAAACAAGGTTGCTATCCACAAAAGAAAAGTGTCATGCATTCAAACTTGATGTAAGTTTCTAACGCTAAACCTGTGCCATGCATTGAGTGACCACACACAAATAGTAAAACTGTGCTTTAATGAAATAAACTGTCAACAAAACTGTACATGAAAAAGACAATATCAACCATGCGTTGCCATGACAACTGTCAACCATGCGTTGCCCATGACAACCTCTTACCCGTATAACCTCTGGACAGGCATAGTGCGGAGATCTGTGATGGACAATTCAGACAAGAGGATTACACATATGTCACTGACTGTTCAAGTAGGGGAGTAGCGGCAGCAGCTATGAGCTAAGATCGCTTTGCGGACCAGGGGCCTATAGATTGACTTCTTCCACATCAGGCTAAGACTCTTGGTAGGCTTGTAAATTAGACTAGTCTCGTGCTAGTCTAGGGCTGGGAACTTGGACTAGTCTAGGGCTAGTCTAGGCCTAGTCTAGGGCTGGGAACTTGTACTAGTCTCGGGCTAGTCTAGGGCTGGGAACTTGGACTAGTCTCGGGCTAGTCTAGGACTGGGAACTTTGACTAGTCTCGGGCTAGTCTAGGGCTGGGAACTTGGACTAGTCTCAGGCTAGTCTAGGGCTGGGAACTTGGACTAGTCTAGGGCTAGTCTAGGGCTAGTCTAGGGCTGGGAACTTGTACTAGTCTTGGGCTAGTCTAGGACTGGGAACACTTGGACTAGTCTCGGGCTAGTCTAGGACTGGGAACACTTGGACTAGTCTCGGGCTAGTCTAGGACTGGGAACTTTGACTAGTCTCGGGCTAGTCTAGGACTGGGAACTTTGACTAGTCTCGGGCTAGTCTAGGGCTGGGAACTTGGACTAGTCTCAGGCTAGTCTAGGGCTGGGAACTTGGACTAGTCTAGGGCTAGTCTAGGGCTAGTCTAGGGCTGGGAACTTGTACTAGTCTTGGGCTAGTCTAGGACTGGGAACACTTGGACTAGTCTCGGGCTAGTCTAGGACTGGGAACACTTGGACTAGTCTCGGGCTAGTCTAGGACTGGGAACTTTGACTAGTCTCGGGCTAGTCTAGGACTGGGAACTTTGACTAGTCTCAGGCTAGTCTAGGACTGGGAACTTTGACTAGTCCCGGGCTAGTCTAGGACTGGGAACTTTGACTAGGGAGAAGCCAAGGGCACAGTCGAGAACATGGAACTTGCACTAGGATTTAGTTTAGTGCCAGTCAAGTAGTGTCCATAATGACTGCCTGCCTGCCCATGGATGGTAACTTTACTGTCAGACTGCTTAAAATTTTCCTAAACCCGCACGACTATCTGCAGCTAATTTTAAGACTACTAACGTATTCAGTTTTATTATAACATCTCCTAGATTCTCAAGTAATTGTTTGCATTATTTCAACTGAATCAAGATGTGATTTGTCTCTTATTTTATGCCACTTTCACTAGTAATGTCTGAATGTGGACAGGTGACTTTGAAGGTGGGCAGCAACATTTATGGGTCACCTACCCGACTGTCTTGTTGGGTTTTAAAGGTTTCAAACAATGTAGTCAAGGGCATGGAACGAGGGACTAGGGCTCACACTGGGGCTTAGTCTAGGGCTAGTCTAGGGCTAGTATAGGGAGTAGTCTAGGGCTAGTCTAAGGCTAGTATAGGGAGTAGTCTAGGGCTAGTCTAAGGCTAGCATAGGGCTTGTCTAGGGCTAGACTTGGGGCTAGTCTAGGGCTAGTATAGGGAGTAGTCTAGGGCTAGTCTAGGGCTAGTATAGGGAGTAGTCTAGGGCTAGTCTAGGGCTAGTCTAGGGCTAGTCTGGGGCTAGTATAGGGCTAGTATAGGGAGTAGTCTTGGGCTTGGAGCCAATGACTGGGGCAAGTTTAGGCCATAGTCATGTCTCAGGGACTGTAGAGTCAGATAATGCTTACAAGGTAGACCCTATTTCTACTGGACACAGGGACTGACAGCCTCTGCATCTACCAGTCCAGGCCTAATTACTGATCAATATCTGGATATACCTGAGAAAGGAAACACCAAGAAACGAAAATACACCCTGGTGCACCTGCACTAGAATGACATCTACGGTAAGACAGACATTGTAGTCCCACTTTAACACATTGTAGGGAAACCTTGACTCTCCACACATGTTCTTTGTCTCCTGCATCAATTATTGATGTCTGCAATTTGTCTTCTATCTGATGTCTCAAACCAGGTCTCTTTCCCACTGTGGGACTTTAACCATGTGTCTAAAGTAACATTCAGATCAGTCTCAGCTAATATAATAGTCTGTATAATAACATGAAATAATAGTCCCTATAATAATATGAAATAATAGTCCCAATAATAATATGATATAATAGTCCATATAATAATATAAAAAATAGTCCCTATAATATGAAATAATAGTCCATATAATTATATGAAATAATAATCCATATAATAATATGAAACAATGGTCTGTTTAAAAACATGAAATATTATCCCAGTTATGAATATGATATAATAGTCCATATAATTATATGATATAATAGTCCATTTAATAATATGAAATTATAGTCCATATAATAATATGAAATAATAATCCACATAATAATATGATATAATAGTCAATATAATAATATGAAATAATAGTCCATATAATAATATGAAGTAATAGTCAATATAATAATATGAAATAATAGTCCATATAATAATATGAAATAATAGTCCATATAATAATATGAAATAATAGTCCATATAATAATATGAAGTAATAGTCCATATAATAATATGAAATAATAGTCCATATAATAATATGAAATAAAAGTCCATATAATAATATGAAATAATAGTCCATATAATAATATGAAGCAATAGTCCATATAATAATATGAAATAATAGTCCATATAATATTATGAAAATATAGTCCATATAATAATATGAAATAATAGTCCCTATAATAATATGAAATAATAGTCCCTATAATAATATGAAATAATAGTCCGGTAATAACATGAAATGATATCCCACTTATGAATAGGATTTAATAGTCCAAAAATAATATGAAGTAATAGTCCATATAATAATATGAAGCAATAGTCCATATAATAATATGATATAATAGTCCATATAATAATATGAAGCAATAGTCCATATAATAATATGAAGCAATAGTCCTTATAATAATATGAAAATCTATTGAAAATGATGCCAAGGGCCAAGTTTGGTCTGGTGAACTCAGTCTTTGGCACAGACTGCATTCCATATATAACAGCACATCCAATAGCCGCATACATCATAAAAACAAACATCATTCATATTTATCATGGGTGTCAAATCATCTGGAATCTCAATTCAATCCATATCTGTTGCCCTCAGTTTTTGCTACGTTGTTCACTTCTCTCTTCAACCCTCGGCTACACAATCTCCAGGACACGTGAGCCTCATTTATCGGAATCCATAACGTTTCGTCTGCAACCAGTTATAACTGTTATCATGCATGCACGTTGTAAATCATAACAAGTTCTCTTGCCCAATGGATATTATCTGACAACTATTAGGAATTCAGCTAAAGATTCGAAAAATTATTTCTGGACACAAAGATACAAATCAAAAGAAGGGTATGGGCAACATCAACAACAGTTGTCTCCCTTAGATAACACTATGCAAAACCATACCATACTCATTGTTCAGGGGGGGCCACAATGAGTTGATATATCGCTGGTGTTGCCATATGCATACCACTCTGATCAGATGGCGATACCCATAGCTACTATTGATCAGGCAGTGCCACCAATAGCTACTGATCAGATGGAGCCACCAATAGCTACTATTGATCAGAAGATGCCACCAATAGCTACTATTGATCAGATGGTGCCACCAATAGCTGCTACTGATCAGATGGAGCCACCAATAGCTACTATTGATCAGATGGAGCCACCAATAGCTACTATTGATCAGATGGTGCCACCAATAGCTACTATTGATCAGATGGAGCCACCAATAGCTTCTATTGATCAGATGATGCCACTAATAGCTGCTATTGATCAGATGGTGCCACCAATAGCTACTATTGATCAGATGGTGCCACCAATAGCTACTATTGATCAGATGGAGCCACCAATAGCTGCTATTGATCAGATGGAACCACCAATAGCTACTATTGATCAGATGGAGCCACCAATAGCTACTGATCAGATGGAGCCACCAATAGCTACTATTGATCAGATGGAGCCACCAATAGCTTCTATTGATCAGATGGTGCCACCAATAGCTGCTATTGATCAGATGGAGCCACCAATAGCTTCTATTGATCAGATGGTGCCACCAATAGCTTCTATTGATCAGATGGAGCCACCAATAGCTACTATTGATCAGATGATGCCACCAATAGCTGCTATTGATCAGATGATGCCACCAATAGCTGCTACTGATCAGATGGAGCCACCAATAGCTACTATTGATCAGATGGTGCCACCAATAGCTACTATTGATCAGATGGAGCCACCATTAGCTACTATTGATCAGATGGTGCCACCAATAGCTGCTACTGATCAGATGGTGCCACTAATAGCTACTATTGATCAGATGACGCCACCAACAGCTGCTATTGATCAGATGGTGCCACGAATAGCTGCTACTGATCAGATGGAGCCACCAATCGCTACTATTGATCAGATGGTGCCACCAATAGCTGCTATTGATCAGATGGTGCCACCAATAGCTACTATTGATCAGATGATGCCACCAATAGCTACTATTGATCAGATGGTGCCACCAATAGCTACTACTGATAAGATGGTGCCAAAAAAAGCTGCTACTGATCAGATGGTGCTACCAATAGCTGCTACTGATCAGATGACAGATGATGCCACCAATAGCTGCTAATGATCAGATGATGCCACCAATAGCTGCTATTGATCAGATGGTGCCACCAATAGCTGCTACTGATCAGATGGAGCCACCAATAGCTACTATTGATCAGATGGTGCCACCAATAGCTGCTACTGATCAGATGGTGCCACCAATAGCTGCTATTGATCAGATGGTGCCACCAATAGCTGCTACTGATCAGATGATGCCACCAATAGCTGCTATTGATCAGATGGTTCCACCAATAGCTGCTACTGATCAGATGATGCCACCAATAGCTGCTATTGATCAGATGGTGCCACCAATAGCTGCTATTGATCAGATGGTGCCACCAATAGCTGCTATTGATCAGATGGTGCCACCAATAGCTGCTACTGATCAGATGATGCCACCAATAGCTACTATTGAT